TTTAAAAGGAAGAGGGAAGCTAAATTTTAAAAATTAAATAAAACATTAGCAAAGAGGCTACAATAACCCATCATAAAGAATATATTCTATGACCAATTGGGATTTATATTAGGAATGCAAATTTCAAATTAGGAGAAATATGAACTGAAACAATGTTAATAGCAAAAACAACAAAAATCATGATTATATCAACTGATGTTGAAAAAGCTTTTCACAAGATATCATACTCATCATAAGAATAAACAGGTTTACTTAACATGATAAATAGTATATATCTAAAACCAAGAACCAGCATCATCTGTAAAGAGAATTAACTAGAATCCTTTACAATAAGATTAAGAGTGAAACTAGTATGTCCATTGCCAGCACTTCTATTTGACATAGTACTGGAAATTACACAGTAATAAGACCAGAAAAAGAAATTGAGAGGACAACCATAGGTAAAGAAGAAACAACATAATCACCTTTTGCAGATGATATAAAAGTATACTCAGAGAACCATGAGTCAACTAAAAATTAAATGAAAAATTTTAAACTTCAGCAAAGTTACAGGATATGAAATAAATCTACAAAAATTATCAGCATTTCTTTATAATACTGATAAAACCCAGAAATAGAAAGAGAAATTCTATTTAAAATAACTGTAGAATGTACAAAATATTTGTCAATCTACCTATAAGATACAACCAAGAACTATAGAAATACAATTACAAAACACTTTTTACAAAAACAAGGACAAATTTCAATGGAGAAATAATAATTGTTCATGGCTAAGTTAATAAAATAAAAATGACAATAGTATTCAAATTAATTTACTTATTCAGTGCATACCAATAAAATTACCAAAGTACTACTTTGAACTGGAAAAAATAACAAAAGTCACATAGAGGCACAAAAAAATAAAAAAATCTTAAGAAAAACAATTTGAAAAAAGGTGAATGAAGAGAAAATAGCAGCACTAGAAAGCAAATTATACTACAAAAGAGCAATTCTCAAAACCTATGCACTGGTTAAAAACCACACTAATCAGTGGACAGATTGGGCACACAACATACAGATGTAAATGAACCTAGTAGACTACTGTTTGGTAAGCACAAAGGCCTCAATGAATGGGATAAGGATCTCACTATTAATAAAATCTGCTAGGCAAACTGGACAGTATTAATGTAGATATTGAGTTTAGACCAACACCTCATACCTTATACCAAGATGAACAGGCATTGCTCAAGGAAAGAAATCTTATCTGTAGCCTATCTATACAGCCATATGAAAAAATGTTCCAAATCACTAATTAGAAAAAACATAAATTAAAGCAATTCTGAAGTTCCTTCTCTCACACCCATTAGATTGGCAAAGATGGCTAAAAATAAATGAACGAATGAATAGCAAATGTTGCAAGAATGGAAGAAAACAAGTATACTGATGCACTGCTAGTAGAGTTGTGTAATGAGTTCATCCATTCTAGAAGCAATTTTGAATTATATACAAAAAGATGCTAACCAGTGTGTACCCTTTAACTGCTATGCTTATATCCCAAAGAAGTCAAAGAGGAATAATACATCTTCGTATGTATAAAAATACTCCCAGCAGCTCTTCTTACGCTGGCAAAGAAGCAGAAACTAAGAGGGTGCCTATAAACTGGGGAATAGCTAAACAAACTGGTATAAGAATGAATGGAATACTATTGTCTTGTAAGAAATGAAGAAAATGATAATTTCAAAGAGACATGGAAAGACCCGAATGAACTAATATAGAGTAAAACATGTAGAGCTAGAAGAACCATTTATACTATAATGTCAATACTGTAAAAACAAATAATTCTGAAAGACTTCAAAAACTGATTAAATAATTAATTGCCATTCCAGTGGACAAATAAACTGTCCTCCTCATGACAGAGTTGATAGACTAATAAGCAGAATAAGAAATACACTTTTTGATGTGATCAGTGTTGAAATTTGTCTTGTATTTCTATGTTTATGCAATAAGAACATGCTGTATTTCTTCCTTTTTGTCTTTTTAATGGATAGGGAGAGGTAAGGAGGAAAAAAAAAGAAAAAGAAAGGGAGAAAAAACATTTGGTTTTACTATGGATTTGCATTCCTTGGCAAAGAAAGGAAAAGAAACTCTTTTATGAAGGCCATAGCTATGAAAATGATGTTATGGGAAATGTTTTTAATTTTGAAATTAGAAAAATTCCAAAATATGAGAGATGAGACACAGTCTAATTTTTTTCTTAAATACTCATTAACATTGAACCTACAATTTTCTTTTATGTTTTTATATGTTTAACACAAAAAATATTCTAATGAATGGTTTGGCAAGTTGTATCACCAAAGTGGGGAGGGGGGTGGGGTGGGTATGAAAACTACATGGATGAATAGAAAACTATAGATAATAGAAAATAATTAAATTTATTAACCACAAAAGTATTTTTAATACTATCTAATAAAAACAATAGGGGTAAACAATTTTTAGGACAAGAGTAACTTATAATAAAAGCAGGAGCATTATATTAGCCCATTTTTAACAAAAAGGAACCAATTATATTAAAATTCAAAATATATTAAAATAAAATATATTATAAATTATCAAAATTTTTTTCAAAGTTCATAGACTCCAGCTTAAGAACCTTTGCTCTGGCCAAAGGGGTCTGTCCTCAAACCAGCATCCCTTTTTACTTATAGTCCCTTTGCCTCAACTGTCCTCCCTTTTTTTTTTGAAAACTTATTACTCATTCATTGATGGATTACTCCTTTTCCCACAAGGATTTTATGTAACTTGCCCAGGATCCCATATCTAGTAGCAAAAGAACAGTCTAGCTCTTATTGCCAAGTCCAAAATTCTATATTCCGCTATCACTTACAGCCTCACAAGTACTCTGTTATATATAGCTAACAGGAAGCACTGTATTTTTATTCGTTATCAGGACAGATAAGATTGAGTAGACAGCAGCCCTGGAACATAGTAGGAATCAATGTGACAAGCTTATTTGTCAGTTTTTTTATTGGAGGACAGGGAAAAGGAGTGTGAACTATGAATTTGTCCTTCTTGGTAAGAGCTTTACTCATGGTAGCCAGGACATTGTTGAGTTCTTCACTCTTCTTCTTGGCCTAAATATGAGTTTTCCATTATTTTAAAAATATGAACTCTATGGTGGCAGCACTGTCATGGTTTTATCATGTTCTTGGTGATTTTGTAACTTCTGTTGATATCCACTGCCGTAGTGTAGTGGGTGACCATATCTATGTCTATTGTTACTCTAGTGACAGCAACAACAAAAGTCCCCATATGTCTCTTTTTTGAATTACAGTTCCACATTACAGCCTAACATTTGGATATTTCCAACTGAATTTCCTATATGCACTTTCAACTCAACTTGCGCAAAGTTTACTCTGGATTCACTTTCCTTCCCCTTAAACTAACACTACTTCCTTTTTTTCTTTTTTTTTTAAACTGTGGGCACAATTTTCAAGTTATCCAGGTGTCTGAAATCTCAGTTATCCCAAACTCCTTCCTCACTCTTATCTTTTGAATCTAATCAGATGCTAGTCTTTTATTCTATCAGAAAACCATCACTCTAATATAAGGTCTCAACTTATTCACCTGGACTACTGAAGTAGCCTCCTAAATGGTCTCCTTTTCTTTTAGGGCAGGGTTTTTTTTAACCCGAAGTCCATGAATTTATTCTCTAAAAATGTTTTGATAATTTCACTTTAATGCAATTGGCTCTCTTTGTGGTCTTATGTATTTTATTTTATGCATTTAAAAACAATATTCAAGAAGAGATCCTTAGGCTTCCCCAGTTTGTCAAAAGCGTTCATTGACACACCAAAAAAGGTCAAGAACCCCTTCCTGAAGGTTTTTCTTCTCAAATCGATCCTCCACACAGCTGCTAAAATGATATGCCTAAAAGATAGATTTGGATCATGTCACTTCTCTGCCCATTGAACTCCACTCCCTCTTGCCCCAAGGATAAAATAAACTTCTGATTTTAGTATTTAAGTTCTCTATACTCTGGCCCCAGTTTACTATACATTATTACCTTTCAAACATTCTATGTTCCAGACAAACTGGCATACTTGATGTTTGCCACACAGGACCTTCCATTTTCCAGTGCCATGCCTTTGTGTAATCTGTCACTTGAAATGCTCTGCTTCATGATTTATTAAAATTCTGATCTTCCTTCAAGGCTTAGATCATGTGTTATCAAACTAGATCATCCTTGATCTTCCACGTTGTTAAAGTTTATCCTCCCTCCCATACATTTTTGAATTCACTTATATATGTACATGTTGTTTTCCCCCAATAAAGTGTAAGCTATCTGTGTGCACAGATTGTATCCAGTGTATGGCACACAATAAGTATTAAATACTTGTCAAAAATAACACCCACCCTACAGGATTGTTGTGACAATAAAATGAGATAATAGATGTAAAGTGCTTTGCAAACCCCAAAGTGCTATATAAATGCTAAGCTATTACTATTAACTACCCTAGTAGGGTAAGTATTATTAGACCCAATTTATAAATAAGGGAACTAAGGCTCCAAGAGGTTAGATGACTTTGCTCAAGTTTCACCAAAGCTAGTAAATGTCAAAGCTAGGATTTGAACCCAAGCCTCCTACCTATGACTCCAGAGGAGTGAACTCTCAACAAGACTGATTATAGCCATCAAAACTAGTGTCTTCAGTATCAAATACTGGCCATAAATACCCTCCAACATCACCTCTCCTATAAGCACATCCATAGAATAGAGGAGAAAACTACTGAGATACTTCAGGTAAAAGCATTTTTTCCCTCCCAAGATACTTGCATAGTTTTCTCGATGCTCCAATTAGCTTTGGCAACCCTTTCTAATATTCCTTTCAGGAATAAAGCCTACATAGGAGAATAGTGATAGTACTAGTAAACAAAATATTATATAAAAGAACAAAATATTTTGGAATAAAAAGCTAGGGGGAAAAAACAAAGGAAATATAAAGATGGAAATGTTAATTGTACCTTAAAGAACCCTGCTTCAGGACCACACCTGTCATATACACTCCTGGATTTACCTATAGCCATGATAATACCTTGCATGTTCGGTGTCATCATGATCTGCCACAAGGGATTTAAGGTAAAAGGTTGGAATGGTTAACATTTTTAAATGTTAAGAAAATGTCTTCATGTACATGCCAGCTAAAAAGCATCCCATAGACACAGCCAGAAAATACTGTTATAGCTAATGCTCAGGATTCCCAAATTAATGACAGCATTTGTTTCTTCTACAGTAAATCTAACCTGATATGCACATAAAGATATATTCTTTAAAATCAGCCAGTGATAAAAATACATGCACTGTTAAACATCACCCCAACAATTAGAAATTCTGCCCAAAGCACACACACAGGAACTCTTATCTCTTATCCAAATGGAAAAATTAAACGAACAAATCCATTAATTCTAACCCAACCCACTATACAAGCAAGTTCCTCCCAAAATGTGAAAATTCAATACTTACATGCTTATTAAATAAATTATACTACTTTCAAAGAGACAACATAATATGAAAATGTTACATGGAACAGTTTATTCATATCAGAAAGCAATCTGTATTACTTTTTTTGATTTCATGTCATTTCTTCAATAACTAGATGACATAATATAACTATATAATCTTCAATGACATAATAAAATGTTTGCAGAACCAAAGGATTGAAAGCAACACCACAAAGTTAATATGATGGCTGCTTTGGAGTAATTAAAAAGGTTATGTCTACTATTTTGCCATCAAAATACAGAGAGGTTTGTAATTATAGTAGTTCGATTGAACTATATTGTACCTAAAGTTCCTAAGATCTAACATGACATACCTAACAAGTACCTTAAAACCACACTACTTTTATCACAAATATATTTTTGTCAGTTCTAGTATTAAATGCAGTACTCCTTTAAGCTATTTTTCAAGGCAGTAATATCAATCATTGCACTATTATAGTATTAATATGAGATTCCTGTGGCATAGTGGATTGAAAGCCAGAAAGATCAGGGTTCAAGTGTAGCCTCTGACCCAAACTGTCTCTGGGATGCTCAGCAAGTCACTTAACTTTTCACTTAATTTTTTATTATGTTTACTTTTTTAAAACCACAATTATTTTCAATTCTTAATTATACATTCTAATGTAGGTAATTTAATAATTTACTTATGCTTTTTTAGGTGGATTTTCTTGCTGTAATTCCTCCTACCTCCATGTCACTGCCTCTTCTCTGTTGCTGTTACTGTTTAGAAACTACCTTCTTCAAGTATATCAGAAAGCAAAGAGAGAAATTTCACAGTAGTTAGAAAAAGGGACCAAGGACCTAGCTGATCTATAGAAAATCTAGGCTGACTCTAGAAAAACCCATAATAAGAATGGGTCAGATTTCCCCCTACTCTCCTGGAAGCACTTCGTGGTGTATATGACAAATATTTCTTAGAACATGGAACAATAAGGAGTTGGCAATATCACTAATGTATCTTTTTAACAAGTCTTAAGGAAGTGGAAGAATAAATGATGGTTAGCTACTCTGTGCTATCCCATAGTTTTCCCAGAGCCTCCTTAGCTTCTGCACACTTCCCTACCATTCGTAGGCTTTGCAATAGAAAATGTAAGAATAAACAATTTAGGCATGATATCAGGATAGGGAGAATTTATTTATACCAGAGGCATTTTTTAATATTCAAAAATTGTTTTTATGAGATTTTAGTATTAAATATCATATAATATACTTATTTTATCCATTTGACATAATCCCCAAGTCTTTCTTCTTAAGTTTTAATTATAATTTCAAACTTTTATTAATATATCAAGGAAGTTACTCAATACCATGTACCACAGAATCAAATTTAGAGCTAGCAGGAAGTGGCAAAGTTAAATGTTATACAGAAAGTCACATAAGTGTGAATATGCAGGCATGCTCAAAATACTTGTGCCAAGCAGCAAAATAAGACAGGTAAGTTTGTGGTGCAAAGGGCTATAAGAACAGTACCTCATCATCATAACCCCCCTTCACTGACTCAATCATAAATGTCCCTACATGAGGAATCGCCACCTCTACAACTTGCTGGTTAGAAGGTGGTTGACTGGTGGCTTTTTCAGGGGTCTGCAGAAGAAAATAATGAGCATGAAAAATTAGAAAAATAGAAGAGAATAATGTAAAATAGCAAAAATATTATTTTGGGGGGGATGAAAGATGGCTAACTTCAAATTACTACCTGGATATCAGGGTACAAGAAAGGCAGGTAACACTAAATTTCTTTCTTTAAGATATAGACTTCAAACTAAACACTTCTCAATTTTATTTGTTTAAATAAGTAGTTTGAACTCCAAATTCTTAACATGTGCAATGTATAACCTAAAAATGTTTTCCATATACCTACACTGAAAAGGTAACTAAAAATAATTTAAAAACTTTTATTTAAACAAATGGTAGTCTTTAGTTTCTTATTTGTTATGAATGAAACGTTAACTGTGTAGAGTAAAAATACTTACTCGGTCATTGAAAGAAAACATAGAAGGTCTCTAAGGTCCCTTTCAGCTCAGGAGATAATATGTCGAGCTGAAAGTGACCTTAGAGGCATTCTAGTCCAATGCTTTCATTTCAGAGATGGACCAAACAGGCTCTGAATTGTGAAATGAATTGTTTAAGGTCACATAAATAGTAATAAGTAAAAGAAACCAACATTCAAACCCAGAACCTCTACTTTCGAATCCAGTACTCCTTCAATTGAACCAGGTAAATTATAGTGAAAAATAAAAATTACAAAAATTTTGAAAAATGAAATTCAGCTTTATTACTTTCAAGTTCACCCAATAAATCAAAAACTGTAAGTGTTGAAATGGTTCCTTTATTGACTCAATAAAATAATATTTTAACAGATTTCCAAAGAGCCTATTGTTTATCAATAAAAGGACACTTCTAAAGAACTTAACCTACCTTCAAGTCACACAACAAAGAAATATCCTGATAATAAACATTAACCAAAAACTTAAGGAATTATAGAATTTCTATTCACTGGATCTTGAATTTAGGAGATTTTATTGTGCTATGAAACAAAGGTACTTTAAAAGAAACACAAGCACTTCAAAGACTGGGATGTTTTCTGGTTTTTCACTGCAATAATCCTTAGTAAATAAATATCAGCAATTGTCAAATATGAAGGCTGCCACTATCCTCTCCACTAATAGATATTATTATAAAGTATGACACTATTCCAATGTTTCAGGGTGGTCTGGATGTGAGCTTGGATTCTAGAATGCTATGCCAGTATGTTTTAAGCTTTGGCATAGCCCACACCAAGCTGAAAAAGTTCAGAGATGGGTCTAGCAAAGGCATGAATGTCTGTCATCCAAGGACTACCCTTACTAAGTCACACTTTTTTCAGTCATGGTGATTTAGGAAGAGTTTTTATTAAAGTGGAGGAGAATTATAATCTGTGGCAGTGGTGGCAGTACTCATAACAACGAAATCACAGATGTTTTAAGATTTTCTATTGTTCCATTAAGTTAAATAATTTCTAGTTCAAATATGCTTTAACTCATACATACACACCTATCAGCTCACATAATTTCGAGTTCTGTGGATATAGCTTATGGAATTTAGCAGATATTATCTTAGTCTTTATAATATTCCTGTGAGTAAAGAATGAAAAGTACTAAGTTTCCATTTTAGGAATACAAAATTTGAAGTTAATGGGTTAAGAAAATGATGTACAATCACTTAGGTCAAGCCAAGTGAAAACAGATTTTGTGATTTATAAGATAATTTACTGAACTAACTTCCTATAAAGAGAGAACATAAGACATTCTGAAGTCTAATGGCACACTGGAGATAAGTGATTTGGTATCCATCCCGTGGCAAGAACAATATTAAAGACTGTATTTTGAAAAGTTAAATATTATGTATGCCAAAAAAATTCTTTCTCATGGAACTTTTTTTTCCACAGGCATACATTAACTATGTAAATTCTTACAAGGAAAAAAGTATTTTTAAAATGTGATTTCCAATGTTTTTAATGACTTTTTTGTTTTATGTGTATATGTACTTAACTTGCCTCCACATATTCAAATTGTACAGAAAAGAAAGCACATAATTCCTCAAATACAATTTAAATCAGTTAAACCCTGATATTTACATTTTATACAATAGAAAATAGGCCATATTTTGTCAATTTTTATCTTAATATACAGGTATGCATTTACCTAAAAGTCAACTAACTGCTATATATACATCAAATAAGAATCAAAATTACAGAACTACAAAGGAGGACCTCTGAAATCAACTGGTCCAAACTCCTTTCATTTTATAAAGGAAGAAACGAATGCCCAATAAGGGTAAGACTGGTCCAAAGTCAAACAATTAGTAGCAGAAACAGGACCAGAACCCAGACCTAAAAATCTAACGCTTCTTTTCTCTAAACTCCATTGAAAATGTCTTGACTATAACTGTCTAAAACACACACACACACACACAATCTCACATAACAACTAAAAAAACATTCTTACCAGCTGTAAGACAGTTTCAGGATTTGTGTCTTCATGCTCTGATGACGCCTTGGTGATCGCTCGCATTGTTTCTTCTTTCAAATACTTGGCGAGATCACTTCTGGATGGCTGCTCTAGGTATTCAGGTTCTTCTGCTTGTGCTTAATGACAAAAGAATTCATTATATATTTAATATGAATCTCAAAATGAATTGATTTGAATTCATATTTGTTTATTTAATAATAAGAATTACGTTGGTGTTCGTTTCAATTGTGTCTGACTCCTCATAATTTCATTTGGGGTTTTTTTGGCAAAGACACGGGCATGGTTTGCCATTTCCTTCTCCAGCTCATTTTACAGATGAGAAAATTGAGGCAAACGAGGTTAAGTGACTTGCCCAGGGTCACACAGCTAGTATATGTCTGAGGCCAGATTTAAACTCATAGAGATGTATCTTCCTGGCACTCTACTAATTGTGCCGCCTCGTTGCCAATAAATTTTATATTTCTCTTTAAAATAATATCAATAAATATGAATAAAATGATACACTTCTAATTTATGTAACTTTTACATATTAAGTATCACAAGAGAATTTTGAACCTTTTAAGCCCCTAAATGAACAATTTCTGCTAGGGAAAAATAGAAAAAAACCTAAACTTAGAAAAAGTATTCCCAATTAACTATAGTATTTGAAATATGCTTTTCTGACATATTGTCACACCAAAATATCATTATGGGAAAATATGAACATAAAATTTTATTTATGTATAAATAATCATATACACACATGTATATTTAATACATTTAATAAATATGGGATTTTTTTAAAACAACATTCTCATTCTGAGTTCCTACTGCCCATATAGGAAGCATGTTTTCTAGCTATAATAACTGTAAACTTGGAAAATGGGAATACTGAAATGCAAAAAGATAACAGAAAAAGGGGAAGGTCTCTTGATCACCCCACCACTTATTTTCTAGCAAACTTTCTGAGGTAGAGCTTGTAATATATTTGCATTTTAATAATTTTTAAACTTTCCAAATAGGATATATCACTCAAGGAAGAATACACTAATTTTAATGTCTCTGCATTTATGCATATATATCAATTATATTAAATATACTCCTTATTTTATAAGAACTTCTGGAAACTGGAAAAGTTTGGTAGAAAATAGGCTTAGAAAACTATTTTACACAACATATCACAGTAAGTTCCTATTGAATATGCAACTGAAATATAAAAGACCACACACCATAAAATTTTTTTAAAAATTAAAAGATATAGGAGATATCTTTTATAACTAAAGCTGGCTAAAGAATTCTAATCCAAATAAGAGATAAAGGAGATCACAAAAGATAAAATTAAAAATCCTTTGCACAAACAAATTCAATGCAACTTGGATAAGAAGGGAAATTGTCAAGGAGAGAAACATCCTTTGTGTCAAATATCTGATAAAGGTCTAATAGCAAATATATATCAATAATTAATACCAGTCTGTAATACCAAGAGCCATTTCCCAAAGGAAAAGTGGTGAAAAAATAAGGAAAGAATTCTTAAAGGAGAAAATGCAAACTATCAACAAATATATGAAAGAATGCTTCAAACCATTATTAGTACAAAATGTAAATTAAAACAACTTTGAGGCCATAACCTACATCCAGCAAATTTGCAAAGATGGACAAGAGATAGTAAAAAAGGGGACTGTTGGGAAGACAAGCACACTAATAATTCAGAGGTGGTAAAGTGAATTAGTCCAACCACTACTTTAAAGTGATAATTATTTTTAATAAATTATTGCTGTCTAATATTTGTGTCTCACCTACCATTTTAACAAGTCATGCCTTGTAACAAAGAATAAATGAAGAGAAAAAAAAAGCAACTGAAGAAATATTATCAGTGAAATAAATCAGTCTAGCAGTATACAGTACAAATCATTCTGGAAAACAATTTTAAATTAAATGATTAAAAATAACTCAACTATTCAACTCTATGACTCAGAGATCCAAGACAGGAATATACCTCAAAGAGTTAAAAAAAAAAAAGCAAGGTTCTATACATACTAAAATATTCATAGAAGCACTTTTTATATTAGGAAAAAAAGTAAATAAAGTAGGTGCCCATCCAGCAAATGAAGAAACAGCTAAAAAAAAAAAAAGGTTTACAGGAATCACATTTATATGGATATGACTAATTCAAAGACACACGCGAAGAGTTATGTCAACTGACAGAGAAATACACAGAATCAAGGGAATGATACATACAAAAGCTATAATAATGCAAATAAAATAACAGTAAAACAAAGCAGAATGTTATATAATTGTAATGACCACAGAGTAAATGAGAAGAATCACTCTTCTGTTCTTACACCTAATGGGTATGCAACATTAAATACACTCTCAGACTTGGTCATTATGGTTTTGATTTGTTACATAAGAAGGAGGGGAAGGGTCACTGTACAGGCTTGGGTGGTGATATTCAGAAATGACCATGATGTAAAAACAAACAAAAAAATCAATAAAACGTTTTTTTTCAAACTACAAAAAGAAGTAGATGGTAGAGAGATAATATGTTAGCAGGTATGAGCATCACTAGCAGTTAAGTGCCACAGTAGATAGAATGCCTGGCCTGGAGTTAGGAAGGCTCATTTTCCTGAGTTCAAATCTGGCCTCAGATATGTACAACGTGTGTAACCCTGAGCAAGTCACTTAACCCTGTTTGCCTCAGTGTCCTCAGCTGTAAGATAAGCTGGAGAAAGAAACGGCAAACCACTCCACTATTGTTGCCAAGTAAACCCCAAATGGGATCACAAAGAGTCAGACATAACTGCAAATAACAACAAAACTGGCATCACCCACTCACAGCCTCATTTTTCACAACCAGACTGATGAACTATGATTGTGTTTCTTTCAACTGTAAAAGCAATTTAAATCCTGTACTAATTTTAATTCCTTTCCCTCAAATATTGTGGAGAAAAGAAAATAGGGAAATACTGGGGAAAACAGGGAAATAGTAGGAAAAATAGGGAAACTATTATGATAGTTGAAATTTGTCTGTGCATGGTGGTATATGCCTGTAATCTCTTCTATGGTGGAAGCTTAGGCTAGTGGATTGTTTGAGTTTGGAAATTCTGAACTGCAATGAGCTAAGACGAGCAGGTGTCTGCACTAAGACCATCACTAATACGGCAAATTCTTAGGAGCAGGATGTCACTAGGCTGCCTAAGGAAAAGCAATGGAACAGGTCAAAGGTCAGAAATGGAGCAGGTCAAAGCTACCATGCCTATCAGTAGTGGGATCAATTCCATTACTAACATTCATGTTTTAAAAAGGCCCTTAACGAAATGGACAAAAGAAGGAATACTTCAGATGGAAACACTGCTAGCACAAAAAAGAAGAGGCTTGTTATTACATTAGAACAAAAACTGAATAGTAGGAACTTGGTCACAGCAACTCTTAAAATAGGATGAGACATCTGAATTCCTGAATCTATGGTATTGAATACTGTAAAACAGACAGGTGAAATAAAATCAAAAGGCAAAGCTGCTTAGCTTTTTGTAGTTTTGCAAATGGCTACAAGGAGTAAAAGTGTTACATATACAGACAATCAGATAAAAACTTCAACTTTAAGTAAGTGAAAGAAAATAGAAATAGAAGCCGATGGTACAGAAATTATGTTCTAACCTTTGTTTGGTTTGATGGTTGCAAAAATTAAATTTAACTGCATAATGTTAAAATTACCAGTTAGATGGCCACTCTACATGAGGATGTGGAAGCTAAATATTCTGATGTATTACTGAAAATAATAGAAGAAGATGGATACATTGATCAACAAAATTTTTTTACTGTGAATGAAACAGGCTTCTTCTAGAAAACAATGTCTTCTAGAACTTACATTTCTAAGAAAGAAAAAAATTCAACCTTAAAGTGTCTAACTTTTTAAAATAAAAGTATCTAACACTTTTATTGGGAAGTAATGCAGAAGGGAGTTTTAAGTTAAAATCAATGCTTATTTCTTGAAATTCTCATGCTCTAAGAGGTTACAATCTTTGGTTGCTTCCAGTTCTTTGGTGGTTCGATAAAGAAAATGACTAAAGTTGTTTACAAAGACTGGCTTTCCAGTTATTTTAGCCCAACTGTTGAAAAATAATTTTATCTCTGAATAGTCAGAATTTGAATAAGGTGACAACTTTACTAGATTCACTAATTTTTATACTATTTATGTCTTTATTCTTTAAATGTATTCCTTGCAAGTTACATATTGTGGAGTTTTTAAAAATCCAATCTGTCATTTTTTAACTTTTTGTTAGAATGTTTAATTCCTTCACATTTAAAGTTGTAAGGATTAGTCTTATATTTTCCTCCATTTGTCTTTAATTTTTTTTCAAATTAAGATTTTATTTTTCTTCCTTTTATGTTGTAAACACAGCATTATGTCTCTTTAGTTATAAACTTATTTTTTAGGGCTATCTTAGTCCCACTGGCTCTCTTCCCTCCCTTGCCCCACTTGTTATCTGTTTTCCCAGTTTGGGAATTTTAGAATTTGGAACTTTTAGAAGGTTCCTGTTTCCTTCTTACTTTTTAATCTAGTCATTTAATTATTCCCCTATTTTTTCTCTCAATTACATACAAGTAAAATCTCTCTTCTTCCTCCTCTTCCCTTCAATTTATTTTATTAGTTTTTAAAATTTCATTTTCAGTGATTTTATTTTAGAAAAATATTTCTTTCCCTTATTCTCTTCATTACTTACCTCTACCTTCCTGTCTATTCTAGACTTTCATTTTTGATTGACATCCCTTATTCTTATCTAGTTGTTTTAAAAAAAATTCTGTATTCCTTGAGGAGGAGGGAGTGCTGAATGATTGCTTATTATTGGTTAGGGAATATTGGCCTTCTCTGCCATTAGTCCATCATATTTTTATCTTGTTGGGATTCTTGATGTCCCAGACTGTGGAGACAGATGAAATTGTTTAATCCTCTGTCACATAATTCTTATTTTAGACAGGTTTGAGAGGTTTCAAGATTCAGAGAAAATGTCTATCTTGTTAATCACACAACTACGAGTACCTTAATTATAAATTAATACTGTTGATCAGATTTCTTATCTTTTTCTACTTCCTTCTTTGTAAAGAATGAGGTGGAATGAAAGGAGGAAAAATTATAAGAAGTTATGATGGGAAAGAAGTACAACATTGAGAACAGTAAAAATGAAAGCAATCAACACTCCAAAAATGGAGAAGGGTAACAGAATGGATTAGACAAAATAATCCAACAATATTTTATTTTCAAAAAATTTACTTGAAACAAAGATCTACATGGAGAAAAGAAGACTTGAGGAGAATTTATTTAGGCCTCAGGTAAATTCAAAAAAGGAAGGGATAACAATCATAAACTCAGACAAGGCAAGAATACAAATAGAAATAAAGCAGGGAAACAAGGTTATGCATATTGTTGTTATTATTATTAGTGCCAATATACCAATAATTCACATACATTCAGCAAATGAAATAACATTTAAATAAGTTGTTTTCAATGTTTTTTTGTATCATGGTCTAATTTTTTTAAACTCATAATTGAAGGAAATGCCCAATTTCAATGAGAAGTTATTGAAAATAAAGACATTTTATTTTCCTATACAAGTTACTGGATCCCATGAAATCAAGGACCCAGCTTAAGAATTTCTGACCTTAGTACTTAAAACACAAGCTAAATAAATTACAGGAAGAAATAAACAGCAAAATTACTAACACCTATTTCTTATTTGTCTGATACATAGCTTATTTGCACATGGTTTACATGTTGTCTCCTCCCATTAGATTATGAGTTCCTCAAGGGTAAGAACTGTCTGTTGTGTTTTCTGGGTTTTCTAAATTCAAAAAATTCAATTCAATAAACATTATTAAGTGCAAGCTTGAAATTAAGGATCCAAAAAAAGGGCAAAAGACAGTCCTTAACCTTGAGAAGTGCACAACCTAATGGGAAGAGACAATATGTAAACCATGTGTAAATAAGCTATGTGTCAGATATACACACACATATATGTGTATGTATGTATGTATACACATGTGTATATGTCAGATAAGTGATGTTTATTAAGCACTTACTATATGCCTTGTATATAAGTGCTTAATAATGTTTATTGACTGACAAATAAAATCTAACAACATAGAAAAAACACAAACAAGAAAAAAGTTAAAGACCTGAATAGAATTTTAGAAAAATTAGTATGATAGGTATCCAGTGATTACTGAATTGGATTAGATAGGAATATACATATTTCAGTCTGTATGACACTTTTACAAAAATGAACCACATGCTAAAGCACAGAAATCTCATAAACAAGTGAAGAAAATTAGTTAAAAAGAAATTAAAAGAAATGGTAAAAGAAAGTAATTAGAGACACTGGCATACAAGAATTGCTACAAAGGAAATGATTCAAATATACATCAAGGAGATATATCTATATCTATATATGTAGAGAGAGAGATAATAAAGGAGGTGGGCTGGTCATATTGGTGAACAAGTTTGAGTGATATTTTTGTACTCCTGAGAACAAAGATCTTTCAATAATGATGATAAGGAGGATAAAATTCTTTAAAATTTGCCAAGAACTTTACACATTATAGCTTCTAGATAGAGATCCTCTATTAAGGATTACGGAAAAACATAAATGACAATTAGAGGGGAGAGGCAAAAAAGGGAGTTGAGAAAACATTGAGTATCAAAACCTGCTAGATAATGATGACATAGATTTCAGGTGATCATTATCCTAGTCGGGGAATTGAGGGGATTAGGACAGAAAGTGGTTAACTATGGGGACTGTGTGAAACACAATGACTCAATCTTTTGACAAAATTCTGGAGCTAGTTTGGTTCCTTTTGTACTCAATTATAGATCTAGCCCAAATTCTGCCTTGTGAGAAAATTATTTAATTGTGGGAAGTAGGAGAAAACCTTATTGCACTGTTTGAACCTAGCCCTACATGGCTAGGAAACTGTACCACTTCTCCCTGCTATTTAGAGAGTCTTAACTAAGGACCTGGGTTATGCTGATCAGAAGAAACCCAGTCAAATCCAAAAAATGAAGCAAGGAGTTTCTCAAGCAACCCGTATGTCTTATCTGAAAACTGATCCCCTATCGATCAATTATTGTTTTCATGTTCCTTTATTTACAGACACTTGAGGGGAGTGGGACACTTCTTTTTTTTGAATTCAGAGAGCTGTACCTGTTCACTCTCTCTCTCCCAACTTGGAAAGTCCCTAATCTTTCCTTAAGTTAGAAATCAAATTACCTAATGTTGTATTGTTTCTTTTTTAACTAACTGATCTTATTTGATTGTTTTTAATGTATAAAAGTCTGTCTTCCCCTTGTATTCAGGGTTCAGGCCTAAGCTGTGGAAGTCTAGCCTTGCTTTGTTAGGCAACTGACATGTACTGCTTAATAAATCAATATGCTTGGAAGACTGGACCTTTGTTTTCTTCAGTGTTTTAATCTTTTACCTGCCACAGGGAAGGTATGATGTTCACTGAATAGAAACCAAGCAGACCCACTGATGAAAAATAGAGAGTTACTTTGGAGGATACACCATAAAGGACAGCTTATTCAGTTGTTTCAGTTGTGTCAGATTCCCTGTGACCCCATTTGGGATTTTCTTGGCAAAGATAATGGAGTGGTTTGTCATTTCCTTCTCCAGCTCATTTTACAGATGAGGAAATTGAGGCAAACAGGATTCAATGACTTGCCCAAGGTCACACAGCAACTAAGTGTCTGAGGCTGGATTTGAACTCAGGTCTTCCTGACTCCAGGTCCAGAAGTCTAACCACTGCACCACCTAGCTGCCCAGTGAAATTTGTAGTCTAATGGAATTAGAAAATAGAATTCTACCATCCACAAGCTTTGAAATCATTGCTGAAAACCAATGTTCCCGTTCACATATATATGTGTATATACACACACATATGTGTGTATATGTATTGTGAATATATGTATAAACATATATACATATAAGACACTATTACTATGTACTGTGTATCTACACATACATATATATATTGCAAATATGAGTATGTACATATATACACATATACTTTGTACCTATATTTATATATAGAAAGAGAGAACTTACATGTGTTATGATAAACCTTTGAAATATTACTACTGAAAAATAATTAGCTGACCTGTCATTACAGAAGGTGTTGGCTCCTTCATTTTCTGGGATGCTAAAATCTTTTCCTGCTGAGCTTTCTGGGCAAGTTGTAGATCCCACTCCTCTAACTCTTTTTCAAATCTCTGATTATCTTCTTTGACGAAGTCTCTTAAATCAGTAGGTAATGTTTCCATCCCGACAAGTTTCTGTCCAGTTTCCTTGTGAAAGTCTTCTGCAAGTCATATATTTCAAAGACTATTATGTGACCAAGAATGAAGAAATGCAGTTCATAAAATAGAGCATTGTTTTAACTTAACTCAACAAATATTTAGTGAAGTGGAGATTATTTGTATGAAATAAATCTTTAGTTTTACCACTTGTTGACAAACTTATGCTATCTAAAAATGAAAAAGTAAACAGAAAAGTACACATTAAAGAATACTTGGAAAGGAATATTAGATTACAAATTGCTCTTCAACAAACCATATAGGTATTATATTTTCTACAATTTAATATGCAGAAATGAGAATTAATGTTTAGAATTTGAACTTTTGGCATATAATGATTTACTATTATGGTAAGAAAATATCTCGTGTTTGTGTCTATTCACAAACTGTTATTGTTTTCAATGAAAGAAGAATGAAAGAAATTACTTCTGGATTTATAGGTAGTAAAGATGGAACTCAGCTATTACATATACTTATATAATTACTGTTGGGCATTCTCTAATGCCCAACATAGTATGGAGATGACTCTGGATGTTCAAATATTCCAGTAGAATGAAAGCTCTAGTAGCAAGTCCTCCCAAACTGGAAAAGTTTCAGGTACAAACCCCGGTGATGGATCATTTATGTTTTGTCCAAGGAACTGCCGAACTGTATTAAAATGGTCATCACCAAGTTGACCAAAGGGTAATGAATTTTTTGGTTATAGCAGTTTTTAAACACTATCTTCTAAGTTATAGAGGGACTATGATTTCAGGGATCTTTGCCATGTTTAAGGATAAAACTATAATTTAAATCATAATCTCACGCAGTTATATTTATCATACTATTCTATGAACTTTTAACAAAAAGCAAGTCATAATTTTAAGATTTACCAAAACATCACAAAAGGATATTTTGCTTTAAGTAGTTACTTATGGCTCTACTGCAAGCCAAAAATGGCCAAAAAAACAACAACAACAAAACAACAACAAACCAGCAAAAAACAAAAACAAACACCTTTTTTTATCATGAGGCAATCATCAAGCAAGAATACATGAATGGAAAAGCAGTAAGACTAAATAGTTCTTGGAATATACTAAAAATGGCAATGAAATACTGGGGTTGGAGGTAGGGGGGAAAACAGCCATTTAATTTTTTTTTTTTTAAATCTGTGAAAGTCAGCAACAATTACAGGACTAACTGAACATACATAAACCCTCAACAGACCATAAAAGAGTTGCTTTTAGTCAATGTATGGACAATACAAGTTACTATATTAATAAATGGCCACATGATTTACCAAGGAAAAGAGCACAAACAAGGCCAACATTAAATTCTAGTTCTAATTCTGCTATACTTTCCAGGCTACTTGATCTTTCAAACCTCCAGTTTCTTCACTTATAAAATAAACTGAAAATACTACTCTGGCATAGCAATTATTAACTGATTAACTAACTCAATATCAAACGGATCCACATAGCACTTGATTATTTTGCAGAACACAATAGTCAAGAAGGAATTTACATAAGTAAGCATATTTAATTTTATGTTCTTACATTCTTACCTTTTATTAAGAAGTGTTCCTTATCATTAATGTACATTAAACAGTATGCACTGGCATTTCTGTAGCCACCAAAAGAGTCCCGCTCTAGCTCTTCCCACGTTGATTTTGTCACAGAAATATCATTATATTTCATCCATCTTTCTTGGTGATGATCAAAAATATATGCCCAGTAGTGTCCTGCATTAGCTTGGCCTTCATGAACTAAGACAGCATGTAAGCGATAAGGAACCTAAACATATGGGGAAAAGTTAACTGGTAATTTTTCTAGTTAATGTTAAATAATAATTTAGGATAATATTAAAATTAGTTTGTAATACTTGTGTTCCTTAAATATACATGAATTTACAGGTGGGTGACCAAAGTGGAAGACTTTCCTACAGCTGAAGGAAACTAGCTGAAATGAAAATTTTGCTGCATATAACTAACAGACAGCTGAGTATTTAACCTGTTTAAAAGCAAGGTTGCTGTCAATAAACATCATGGATGTTCTATTTTGAAGTTGATATTTGGGCATTTACTAACATACTTATACTACCATTTGCTAATAACAAATTTCTCAAAAGCTTTATGCATACAGTATGGTTTAGCTAAATTTCTAAATGCTTTACCAGGAGAGTCAAATAGGATTTGAATAATTTGTGTAATGTATATGAACACACATTAACTATAATGTAATGAACCTGAAATGGCTTAGAGTCCTGGATTGCTATCTAATTATCTAAACTTTCTTGCTACCACTGCACAGTGATTTCTACAAAATAAAGGTTCAAATACTCTTATTGACTTTATTTTCAATAACTGTAAGAAATTACCTTTTTTCTTCCCTCAAGAATGCAAAAGAAACCCTATGAAACTATATGAAACTCTGTAAGAAACTCTAAGAAAAGTAATATTTGATATTTTTTAAAAAATCAACAAAGTATTAAAGATTTTATCAGTTTAACAAAAACTGTAAATGAAACTGTTAAAATAGGAAACTCTAAAATAATGAATGAAACAACTAAACATATAACTAGACTATAAGAAAATTTGTATATTAGACTGAATATAATTTTAATGTATTTCCCACCTCAGAATTTTACTTACTTGTACCATAGGCTTGTCAGAGTACATTTGTTCAATTGTACGATGAATTCTTGATATGCTTTCCTGCAAATCTAAAGTGATAAAGAAATATTTTAATAGCAATCACCTTATGATTAATATACCATACTTCTACTGAAAATATATGGAAAAGGGTCAAATCTTATTTCGTCTATAAGGTTATGAGAGGAATCCATCCCTCAAATCAATATGACCTTTAACATTGCTAATTCCAAATACACTTCTCATCGGCAGTGTATCCGAAATTATTACTTTAGAGAATTTTACTGTTTAAATATGTTCAAAATGTGTAGGTTACTTCCTAAAGTCCTTTCTGAACTACATAGACTTGGCAAAAATTATTTGGAGTGGTAATTTTTTTGGTAGTAGAATTTCAAGTATATGTTCAATATTTAAAATCCACAAAATCAAGAAATATTAAGACTGCTTAAGCTTACAAAAAGTGGAGAAATAACTAAATTTAGATAATTAAAGACAAAATATTCATATCCCTGAATTTATCAAAATAGGTGATTCAATTAGTGTTTTACACGTGTTCATTTTGAAAATTTCAAGCTTTAAAATTAAAGTTAGAAAATTATTTCTTGGAATTGGTTTAAAAATTATGATTCATTAATTTTTTTTTAACATCTGCAACAAAGAAGTATTTTCAAGAAGTCGTTATAATAGAAACAGGGCTAGATTTTGCCTCAAAAAAAACAAGATTTGAATCCTGCCTTGGATACTTAATAGCTACGTGATTAATAAATGTAATTGTAATGGTCCATTCTGCAAATAATAATTTAGAACACACTGAACATCATTGATTTATTCAAAATTATTATTGCATCAGAATATTACTGTTTGGAATAATGCTCAAAATATTTTGGTGATTTTTCCTAGAATGTGGGATAATTTTTCCTATACATAGATTTTACAATAATTATTTAGAATAGTATTCAATGTAGTGAATTCCAAGTATATATTTAATTTAAAAATGCATTATCTGGATTTCTGGGTCATATGAGCAACAAGATGGAGTCTTCCAAACTTTTTCAAAACAGAAATTATGAGCCAAAGACAAAACAACTTTATCATGGTATCCAAAAAGTTAAAATCCAAAATCCAAAGTTAAAAAAAAAAACATAAAAAACAACAAATTCATGAACCGATGCTAACTGACCCTGAACTCACTCAGTACCCTTTCCCTCACCTCTCATGTTACTAGCAAGAAGGTTGCACTAGCAGACCTAAGGATATGATACAGGCTTAACACAAAATCATCCCCATATTTCAGTCTCCCTTCCCTCTTTTACAGTGATGTGAAGACCCCAATTCCAGGCTATAGAAGTTTGCTCAGGTTCCAACAGCTAGCCAGCATGGCAGCAGCCCTTCCAGAACCAAAGTGTGGCCAGGCCACAATCCTGAAATCCCCAGCATTTCAAAGCTCTGAACAGTCAGGGCAGTCAACCCCACAACACCAGTGTTACAATGCTCAAAACAACCTAAGAACTAAGAAATAGAGGGACAGAAGGAGACAGGACACTAGCACAGGTCACTCTGTATGTGTGTTTGTGTGTGTGCCTGATTGGGGGGGAGGGATGTTGCGGGAGGTGGGAGAGGATGTTCTGCATCACTCTACTAAACCTGAAGGAAAGAGTACAGCATCCATCTGAGTCACTTGGGGCAGATATCTAGAATGGTGAACTTTAAATTGCCCAGTGTGGAAGGAGGCAGAGATGCTTTGAGATCCAGCCCCCAGGGCAACCGCAATCAGAGGAGAAAGAATCAGAAAGTGAACAACAAAGGAAAGGAAGGCAGAAATTACCAAAGATTTCAGGAAGAAAAATGTATTATCTGATCCCAGCCAGTTTTTTCATCTGCAACATTTACCTCACAGTGTTATAGAGTAGATCAAATGAGAAAATGTTTGTAAAGCACAATGAAAACCCAAAACTACTATAGAAATTTCATTTCCAATTACTAATGTTAAATTTATCATATCAGTGACCAAAGAGTTAATATTTTGAAATTACATTAAACTGATAGGAATTATAATTTGACATACAAATATTATTTTAACATATTCTTTAGGAATACATCAATATGAAAAGGAAATTCCATTTAAACCATGATGATTAAATGTACAAGTGAATAAATAAAATATCCATTGAGATTTCAAGAAGGGTTCAGTCAAGACCCGCTAAGATACTTTCAAATTGGAAAATAAGACCTAAGAAAAAAAGTTAAAGATTTATTTAAGTTAGACAAGGCTAAATTAAAGAGCTATACTAGACCAAAGGTCAGCAACCTATGGCCCAAGAATGCAAAAATCATTCTTAGCTTATGGACCATACAAAACTAGGCAGTGGGCCACCTGGGCTATAGCTTGTACAGCCCTGTACTAGGCTACTCTAAAATCACAATGAGCATTTTATATGCTTAGGAATGGAATTCACAGAGGATTTCCCTTAACATAAGCAATCTTAAGGGAACTACTACTACTAAACAACATTAACTATCTTACCTCTAGTGTCATTTTCTACTTCAGTCCTCCAGCGATGTAAACAGCCTTCTAGTACAGAAAGTTCTTCTTCTGTTATATGTCTTGGTGCTGGATGCATGGGTAAATCTGGAGGTATTCGTGACTGTGTAAATGGCTTATGTATAAATGACCTTGGTGTAGGTGACGTGCTTGGTAGTTCTGAAGGAGTTCCCTGTTGTTGCTCTGCTGTGCTATATTTTTAAATGATAGAATAGGATAAAAAGTATGTCATATAGAAGCATAAATCTTCAATACCTATATAAAAATATTTAAAAGAACTATAAGTTTTTTTAAAAAACAATAAAGAACTAAATATTTAAATCTGACTTCAGTATTCTAATTAACAAAAAAGGTCAAGAGTAAATCCTCAAAATTATTAAATACTTCAAACTTTTATTATTGAATAAGGTTAAAATTAGAATTATGCGCCATTAACTCTTTAACTCTTTTCCCACATCCAGTCAGTTAAATCTTATCAGTTCTAAAGGCATTAACTCTGTCTGTCTGTCTGTCTCTCACACATACAAGCTCAAACCCTCACATTACCTCTTCCTTCGACTACTATACCAGCATCTTCACCTACAAATCTCCCCATGCCTGACTCCAACATCTGTTCTACACTCAGCTGTCAAAATAATCTTCCTAATCATGTTATTCCTTTGCTTAAACACCTTCAGGGGCTCATTATTACTTCCAAGATAATATACAAATCTTTAGGTTGGTATTTAAGGCCCCACACAATCTAGTTCTAACCTACCTTTCCAGTCCCATTTCACATGTGTGAAAAATGTACATTATTTGGCTTTCGTGGTATAGTTGAGACAAATTGGACTACTAGTTATTCCTCAAACCTGACATGACATTTCTGACCTCCATGTATTTACCGGACTTATCCTTCAATCACGGAATATACTTCCTTCTGATTTCTGCCTTTCAGAATACATCTTTTCCTTCAAGTCCCAACTCAGGAGCCACCTCTTCTGGCAAGCTTGTTCTCACCTCTCCCCAAGCTCCCAATAAGAGCACTCTTTCTGCTTAAATTTTCCTAATTTCTCAATTACTCCTAACTCTTACTAGTACCGTATCTTTGTGTATATTGTATACCACTCAACCTTTACCTAGCCTTAATCTAGTTTGGGGGCAGGAACATTAATTTTTTTTAATCTTTGTATCCTTAGTACTTCTGCAATAGTAAGCTCATAATAAAAAAAAACAAAACAAAACAAGTGAAATGAAATTAATGGAATACATGAATTACTTTGAAAATAAAAATAGATAAATCTACTTATATATACTCTATACATGAATATTGTATAAAATGTTTTTGATGGCACCTGTCAGTTTTTATTACTATGATGGTATAAACAATTAGTATTAGGTTGTGTCACTACATAAAGATACAAAGCTGTAAGGGTAATATGTTTATCTATAATGAAAGGTATATTTTATTTTGTTTTGAAAATACAACATTAAAATTCCTAACTCTGTACAAGAATAGAATCTAATAAGCTATGAATTAATATATAGAAAACATGCATTTTTCCAACTTTTTCAGCTTAAAAATTTAAACTTATTTTATAAAACCATTCATTTTAATCTATTATAGCAAATGAGCAAGAGATTATGTTACATTTTGCTTAAATGAAACCTCTCTCCATATTAAATGTCACACCGTATTAAATGTTTCCCCTCACATTAAAAAATGTTTTTACCTTGATAATGTCTGTGATGGTATGGAACCACTAGGTGGGGAACTAGCATCAATATCATCAACAGGAGAAGTGCAAACAGGTTTACTTGAGGCAAACTCCAGTGCATACTGCAGAACATCTACCAAGGGGAATCGTTTAGGGCCAGAACCATAGCTTAAATATCTGTTAACCATAAAATGTATGAATGCATTTACTAATATATTCAAAAAGCTCCATTTTCAGCAATTGTTAAGAGTTTTCAAACTCCTGTTACATAACAATAAAATGAAATTACTTTATGCCACCATTTTTCTTATGAAATCAAATGAATCTCTGCTGGAATGATAAAAAAGGCTAGTGGAGCAAATAATACAATAAGTAAATGTTTCAAATATCCTCAAAATTGATTCACTAATACTTCCTCTAAACACATGCACGTACATACGTATGTGTATTTATATTATTTTCATTCGAAGACTTCACTCTCTTTCATTGTCATAGCCCAGATGGATAATTAAAATTGCTGCTGGGTCTTTCATGAACCAGCCATATTTTTATTTTCAGACAGGGTACCTGTCACATGGTCAATGTAATTATTTAACTGGCTTTCAATCACCTCTAATTGGTTTACAATAGAATTACAAACCTGCCTTGCCACAGAAATTACAAAAATTACTAGGTTTTTTAAAAATGGATTAATTACTTTTATATTAAAATTTTTTTAAGTTTTTATGTTCAATTTACAAGAAAATAAAAATAAAAGTTGGGGGAAATTGATTACTAAGATTAACTGGGTTTAATGGCAATTGAAATAGTTACAGTTAAGCATTACCTAAGCTAACACTAAAGTACAGCAATACTATAACAGTAAAATTAATAACAGAAATCTTAACCAGAATTATATGCTTCATGTTGTCCCTTATCATTTCAGCTATATGTCTGTGTGCCATTAAAAAAACAGTAAAATTACTCTAGAAGACAGCCCTGAAACTTTGACAGGAATAATCTAATGCAGCCATCCTCAAAGTGTGGTTCAGTGACCTCTGGGGATCCCTGAGACTCTTTCAAAGGTCTTTGAGGTCAAAACTTTATAAGAATAAGATATTTAATTTCTAATATGGTATATCTATATCCACACAGACATACATACATACACACACACATATACACATACACATTCAAAACAAAAGCTCTCATGGGGGTGAGGATCTTCAACAATTTTTAAGAGTATAAAAGGGTCCTGAGATGAAAAAATTTGAAAATCAGTTATGTAATGAAACTAATCACATACCTAGGTCAGCCCAGAAAGATTACCTCTTATCAAAATTATTAATCTGCTAAAAAGAGGGATTAAAACCAACATCTTTATAATTATACTTTTTATATTAATTATAAAGAACAAGATTATAAGTAAATTGCACTGAGTAGTTTTTCAGTTCTTGAAGAATACCTTTCTAATCTTTGTTGTAATACTGTAAGGTACTCTTTTAGCCTCTTGATCTCCTCTCGTTTAATTCTTGTTATTTCTCTGTTTTTGTGCATATATCTGCAAATAAAAATAAATAGTCAGCATTTAGAATTTCTATACACTTAGATACCACCTTAAGTGGCATACCATTTGCAAAGAAAACTGAACTCAGTTCTAAGTAATTTAAATGGAACTATTTAAGCTCAATCATTGCTACAAAAAAAAAATTACATTTAGAGACAATGAACCATTTTATTGACTGTATAAAATGCTATCTTCCCTTATAATTTTTTGAGGCTATTTAAGAAAATATACAAGTTGGTCAGGGTTACTTTTTATTTCTATAACAATATTCTTTCCATAAATTGATGTTTTCTCTACATTGAACATTTTGTATATTATAAATGATATCTGCTAGCAGAAAAGGTAGTTGTCATTTAAAACTATTATTTCTTTATGCACACTGTCATATGTTCTTAAAACAAAGTTTATTTCCAATAAAATTAAATCAAAATTTCATCTACAAAAAACAGAGGTGTAATTCACTAAATTGCAAACACACTTTAAATATATGCATATGTGTACCACACACACACACACACACACACTCTCTCTCTCTCTCTCTCTGTCTCTCTCTCTCTCTCTCTCCTGCTGCTATATTAATTAAGCCATACCTGTCCAGATATAAAACCTGAGGAAATTCTAACTTGTTGTGAATTTTCTCTGGTCTTCCCAAAGCCTGATTAAATTCAAATCTTGACAGTTCAAATGTTAATACAGGTGGAAGTTCTGTGAACCAATGCTAAATAAGAAAAGATATTTTAAAATTTAATAACACTTTTCCTACTTTTAAAAAATTAGGTAATATCAGCATTTTTATAAGCAGTCTACAACATTAATAAGTACCTAATTTAATTGTACATCAAAATCCAAAAAAATTCTGTCAACAGCTATGCAGTTGGGTGTTGGCATAGTTATTCCAAGTATCCCTCCTCCTCCCAGAGAGGCATTCCAAATGACAAAGAGTATATTTACAGAGAAAAAAAAGAATAAGTAATCTATACATTGAGAAAGTCCAAAAACATGTGCAATGTGTTAACACTTGTCGACCTCCCACCTCCGTGAAAAGGTGGGCTGTAAGTGTCTTCTTATCTCTCTTCATTTGAGACCTGCTTGATTTTTATAATTTTATTACATTTACTTTTGATTTTTTGGTGTGTGGTTTTCCATTTACATTGCTGTAGTTTCCGTGTGTGTGTGTGTGTGTGTGTGTGTGTCTGTCTGTGTGTATTTGTTCAGTTTACTACATTCTACATCAATTCACATAGATCTTTCCTGTTCCTCTACATTCATCACATGCACCATTTGTTACAGCACAGTAATATTAGATCACATTCATGTAACCACAATTTGTTTAGTTATTCCTCATTTGACAGGCATCTAGTTTGTTTCCAATTCATTACTAACACGAAAAGTGCTGCTATGAATAATTTGGTGTCTATGGAGATTCTTTTATCAATGGCTTTCTTGGATATAAAAAGCCCAGGAATAAAGACTCTGGTTCAAAGGGTATGTACATTTTAGTCATGTTATTTGCATAATTCCAAATTGCCTTCCAAAACAGTTGTACTATTTCACAGCTTCACCAACAATTATTAGTGTGCCTATCTTTCTGTAACTCCTACAACATTGAATATTGCCATTTTTTGTTATTTTTACCAGTTTACAGAGTGTAAGATGAAACTTCAGAGGTGTTTTGATTTGCATTTCTCATCATATTAGTGACTTGGAGCATTCTTTCATGTTGTTGTGAATACTTTGCAATCCTTCTTTTGAGAACTATTTGTTCATATCATTTGACCATTTATCTATGGGAAAGGGTATTAGTTACACATACCCACACACTCATACATTACATATATGATTACATAACAGATAACATATTATTAGTTACATATGTTTGTATATGTGTATGTATATTATATATAAATGTATATGTATAGCTTTTATATCTTTGATAACAAACTCTTATTAGAAAAATTTGATACAAAGTTTTTTTTTCCAATTCAACAACTTCTTTTCTTATTATAGTGCAATAATTTTGTCTGTGAAGAAGCTTTTCAGTGTCATGTATTCAAAGTTATCTATTCTATGTTTTGTAATTGCCTCTATCTCTTTTTTTGGTTAAAAATACATTTCCTACCCACAACTGTGAGAGTTATGTGATCTGCTTTTATTCTAATAATAACACTTTATTGTTCATGGTTCTTTTCAGTATAATGTAGTTTCCTTGTTAATCCCTTTTTATCTTTTGAAAGTTTTTTTCTGCTTGGTTACTGCTTAAATAGCACAATTTTTACCTCCTACTTTTTTGGAATCACTTAATGCATAGTAAATTTTATTTTACATCCCTTCAGTTTTATTTTGTGCATGTTTTTGTTTTTTAAATGTGTTTTTTGAAAACAACAGATTTCAGGGGTTTGTTTTGTTATCTAATTTTTCCCTTTTTTATTATCAGATCATTTAAACCATTCACATTCAAAGTTAAGAGGTTGGATTATATTTTCCTCCACCAGTCTCTAAGGCTGTGTTTTTTCAAGTTATGATTCTTTTTATCTCTTCTGCTGTAAACACAGTACTAAGGTTCCTTAAATCACTTTAACTTACTCTTTTTAAAGATGATCCTATTTCCACTGGCTCTCTTCCCCTCACTCCTGATCCCCTTTTGTTTATTAGTTCCTTTTTCTCTTCTACTTTAATCTGATCATATAATTCTCTCCCTCTTTTCTCCTTTCAGTCAAGTAGATTCCCTCTTCTTCTCTTGCCCTTCAACCAGTCTTGTTCATTAGTGTTTTTAAAATTTCATTTTTGTGCCTCTTTCCAAAAAAGGATTTCTCTCACTCTCTTCATTATCCATCGTCTCTGTTTACTCTAGACCCTCAGCATCTAATTCATGATTTCTGTAATTACTTGGTTGCTCTTTTCTCTGTATTACTCATTCAATCAAAATTTCCAAGGCATTTTTGCTGGGCTCTGTCCTCTTGGCAATTTTTGACTCTCCTTTGTACAGCTTGCCCCAGGGATTCCCTTTTTCCAATTAATACAAGTGTCAGAGAGGCCACTTTTCCATGGCAGACCTCCCTCTGCCACTTTTCCTAATTAATCAGCCCATCAGTAATCTATACCTTCCCCATTACCTTTTTACCCCATATTTCTTTATATCTCCCCTTTATATCCATGCCTTCCTGCTCCTTCAGATGCCAGCTGCCCCCAGGAGTTCCAAAGGCCCCCCTCAAGACAGGTCAAATGGAATTTTCAAGCATCAAATCCCTTAGACCAGATACAGTACAAAGTTCCCATCTCCCTTCACAGAGCATCACTGGAATCCTCTCCCACCATCAAAGTAAGGCCTCCCTCCTTCTCCCACCTTTTTAATCCTTCCATCTTCCTCATCCACCCTCCTGCAGGTTCTTCTCTTACTGAGACCACAGGGATCACTTTCCTCTTGTTGCTACACCTCAATTTGAACTCAATATATATCACACATTCCTCCTTATTCCCCTTCAACCTCATCTACTTTGGATTTATATGTTTCTAATATAAATTAAATTCTGTACACAATTCTACTTTTTATATTTTTGGGGGGAATTATTCTTTGACATTTCTTGATTCTTAAAGTTGCATCCATATTCTGACCTGAAAATATGCTCAGAATTTCTCCAATGAATTTTGGAATACTGACCACAAAATATTAGCATTATTCCTATTTAATGCTTTGATTTCAGCAAAGGAATTTCTTTAAACCATAAATTATTAGCAAAACAGCATGGTATTTTTTTTTACAACACAGCAAACTAGCAGTTATGTTAATTAACAGACCAAGAACTGTATTGTATGGGGATATTAGACATTGAGCAATAGCCTGGAACTTAGTCTATTCCTAAAATAAATTTTCAGTTTTTTCCTAAAGTTTCAAGAAAAATAAATTCAGGTTAAAATGGCACCATATTCATTTTTTTAAATCCCTTAGTTTGTAGGGCTTGCATCTATTAAAAAGTTTATATAAAATTTTGTTTGAATAATTCTAATCTAGGTGCGGGATAAAGACACAGTAGATAGAGCACAGTGTGTGGAGTAAGATTTGAGTTCAAATCCAGCCTCTGACACTTATTAGTGTGTGATCCTAAGGAAGTTGCATAAGCTCTGTCTGCCTCAGTTTCCTAAACATAAAACGGCGACAATAAGAGCACTTACTTCATGGGTTGTTATGAGGATAAAATGGGATAATATTTGTAAACTACAATTTCGGGCACAGAGTAGGTACTGTCTCTTCCTTTTTAAAATGAGATAGTTTATAATTGAAGTCCTATCTTAGGCACATAAATGGATACTGCTACCAGAAAAAAGGTTACTCAGAGTTGATAAAAAGAAATATAATTGAAAGAATGATCATGTTAGAGTGAGAAAAGACTACATTTCAAATTCTTCCTCTACTATTTACTAGTTGTGTGGCATGAGAAAAATACTTAATCTCTCTGAACCTCAGTTTCCATAACAGTAAAATTGAGATAATAATACTTGTAATACCTATGTAACAGAATTGTTATTAGGATAAATCAGATAACACATGTAAGCACTTTGTAAGCCTTAAAGCATTATACAAAAGTCAACTATTATTATTAACTATTATGGCTATTACATAACCTTATTATATATAAAAGAATTTGAGAGTTGATTAAAAGCAGGTAAACTTAAATGTAAAGTTACTTCTGACTAAGGTCTTATTTAATACAGCCATCAGTGGGGTACCTGACCCTGATCTTAAGGTTGAAGCACATTTGAAGAGTTGAAGCCAGTCTTATGGTCTCTCTGAAAATCCCCCATTGCTGTACCGGGAGCCTGCTATTTTGCACAGTTATCACCTCTCCCTGAGCCTCCTCAGCCTTTTTTATGGACTTTCAGCTATTCTGCAAAACAACTTATGTAAAAGCTTCTCAAGGCTGTCCCTTCCATGAGACTCACTCCCTGCTGAGGTGTATTTAACCCTGCCCCTTCTTTCACTCCTAGGCACTGCAGTACTCAGGAGCTGTATGATATCATGAACTGCAATTCCCTTGCCTCAACTAAAGACCTTTGGTACTGTAGCCTTTGTAGTCTTTATAAGAATGTAGACATTCTTATAATCATTTATGTTCCTAGTGATATCTCACTTTTCCTCCTCTGCCTAGGTTTTGAAAAGTGAGGTACGGGCTCTGAATTAAGAGGAAGAAAAAACAAACTATAAAACCTTCCCTTGCTTGAACAGCTTATGCAGAGTGTATAATCAATCAATCAACCAACCAATCAACAAGTATTTATTAAGAGTCCACTATATATGAGGCATAGTGCTAGGTGGGTGAGATATAAATGCCAAGAATAAAATAAGCCCTACATTCTAATAAGCATACATTCTAATGGGAGAGACAACAAGTATAAATGCATGGATTATCTACAGCATAAATACAAATATATAATATATACAAAATAGTGAAATACAAGATATTTTAAGAAGGAAAGCACTACCAGATGAGGAATCAGGAAAAGCTTTAAGCAGAAGACAGTGGTTGACATACATCTTCAAGTAAGAAAGGAACTTCATGAAAAAATACATTCCAGGGACAGGGCACAGTCAGTGCAAAAGCAGAGATGGGGGTACAGCTAAATGATGCAGTGGATAGAGCACTGGCCCTGGATTCAGGAGGACCTGAGTTCAAATCTGGCCTCAGACACTTGACACTTACTAGCTGTGTGACCCTGGACAAATCACTTCACCCCATTGCCTCACTAAGAAAAAAAAAAAAAAAAAAAAGCAGAGATGGAAAATGGAGTAGTGTGTCCAAGACATAGAGAAAAGGTCAGTTTTACATGACTGCAGGGTATGGGTGTGGGAACGTCCAATGAAGATGTAACAATAAATGGGGTATTGCTTTAAAATCTAAACACATCAGGGACAAAGAGGAAAGGGTCAAGGATAATGCTGAGATTTGACAGAATTAAGAAAGTTTGGAAGAGGGGAAGGTTTTGGGGAAAGACAATAAACTCAGTTTTACTTGTATTTAAGATATCTCTAGATTACCCAGTTTGATATGTCCAAGAGGCAACTGGTGATCTAGGATTGCAGTTCAGGGGAGATAATGAGCCTAGACATATAGATCTGGGGGGTCATCTACACAGAAATGATAGTTAAGCCCATGAGAGCTGACAAAGTCACCAAGAAGAGAAGAGAGAGTGAAGAGAACAGCACTCAGGACAGGACCTTGTGGAGCACCCACAGTTAGAGAGCATGATGTGGATAATCAGATTGAGGGGCAAACATATAAGGTAAACCGAAAGAGCAACGTCATGAAAACCCTGAGAGGAGAGAATACTACTTGTAGTTTAGATAGAGAAAGGGTAGGTTAGCTACCAAGAAGTTTAAAAGCCACCCCTCGGAGGGTAGGGGTGGGGTGGTAGCCAAGATGGTGGAGTAAAAGCAGTGACTTGCTTGAGCTCTCCCCCAAACCCCTCCAAATACCTGAAAAAAATGGCTCTAAATAAATTCTAAAGCAGTAGAACCCACAAAAAGACAGAGTGAAACAAGTTTCCAGACCAAGACAGCCTGGATGGTTGATCAGAAAGGCATATTGCGCCAGGCAGGGAGAGGAGCACAGTTTAGCGTGGGCGCGTGGGCAAAACAATCCTCAGTGAACTTGAAGCAGGCCTCAGAGGACTGAATCACAGGCAGCTGTGGTAGTTTCCAGACTTCTCAACACATGAATGCTAAAGACAACTTAGGTCAGTGGGAAAAGTCTGTGACTGTGGTGAGAGAAAAGCTCCATCCCAGCCCCAGTCCCTGAGCATGGCCCAAGGCAGTTGCTGCCTCCAGAATTTCTGGCCCACAGACTGAGGGGTAATCAGGTGGCTGATCTGAGGGGGGGAGTGCAGGGGTCTCTTTGACAGTGCTGAGGCAGGAATCTCTTGCTTTGCCTGTGCTTGGATCTGGGTCACAGTTCTGGGCGGTAATCCTGGGGCAAGAAGGAGTGCTGGTGTGGTAGAGCTTGTAGCGGCAGTGGAGAGGAAATCCTCCTCACAGTTCCAAGGTAGAAAAGATTGCTTATGGTCACTCATAGACCAGAACACAGGCCAGGAAAGGAGTAAATACCTCGCCCTGTATCATACCACCTTGGAAGAACTGAAAATTTATAGGTCCCTAGAATTATTACTGAAAACAGCTGCACAAAACCCCCGAAGCTTGGGACAGTACCTTCTCCACACTGCATACAGTCCCCTATCTTAACAAAAGAGTTTAAAACTCAAGGAATTGGCTGGGATCATGAGCAAACAAAGGCACAAAAAAAGTTAGACTAGAGACTTTTTCTTTGGTGACAAAGAAGATCAAAACATACAACCAGAAGAAGACAACAAAGTCAAAACTCCTATACCCAAAGCCTCCAAGAAAAATATGAATCAGTCACAGGCCATGGAAGAGCTCAAAAAGGATTTTGAGAAGCAAGTAAGAGAAGTAGAGGGAAAACTGGGAAGAGAAATGAGAGTGATGCAAGAACATCATGAAAAACAAATCAAACAGCTTCCTAAAGGAGACCTAAAAAAATACTGAAGAAAATAACACCTTAAAAAATAGCCTAACCCAAATGGCAAAAGAGATCCAGAAAGCGAATAAGGAGAAGAATGCCCTAAAAAAGCAAAATTGGCCAAATGGAAAAGGAAGTCCAAAAGCTTACTGAAGAAAATACTTCCTTAAAAATTAGAATAGAGCAACTGGAAGCTAGTGACTTTATGAGAAATCAAGGCACTGTCATACAAATCCACAAGAAAGAAAAAATAGAAAATAATGTGAAATATCTCACCGGAAAAACAACTGACATGGAAAATAGATCCATGAGACAGAATTTAAAAATCAATGGACTATCTGAAAGCCATGATCAAAAAAAGAGCCTAGACATCATCTTTCAAGAAATTATCAAGGAAAAGTGCCCTGATATTCTAGAAACAGAGGGCAAAATTGAAATTGAAAGAATCCACCGATCACCTCCTGAAAGAGATCCCCAAAGGAAAACTCCTAGGAATATTGTAGCCAAATTCCAGAATTCTCGGGTCAAGAAGAAAATATTGCAAGCAGCCAGAAAGAAACAATTCAAGTATTGTGGAAACACAATCAGGATAACACAAAATTTAACAGCTTCTACATTAAGGGACAGGAGGGTATGGAATATATTATTCCAGAGGGCAAAGGAGATAGGGTTACAACTAAGAATCACCTATCCAGCAAAACTGAGTATAATCCTTCAGGGGAAAAAATGGTCATTCAATGAAATAGGGGACTTTCAAGCATTCTTGATGAAAAGACCACAGCTGAATAGAAAATTTGACTTTCCAATACAAGACTCAAGTGGAACATGAAGAGGTAAACAGGAAAGAGAAATCATAAGACTTATTAAGGTTGAACTATTTACATTCCTGCATGGAAAGATGATATCTGTAACTCATGAGACCTTTGTCAGTATTAGGGTAGTTGGAGGGAAAAAATTATATGTATGTATATAGATAGATAGATAGATAGATAGATAGATAGATAGAGGGCACAGGGTGAGTTGAAGATGAAGGGGTGATATCTGGAGAATAAAATTAAGGGGTGCAAGAGGATTATACTGGGAGAAGGAGAAAGGGAGAGGTAGAATGGGGTAAATTATCTCACATAAAACAGACAAGAAAAGGCTTTTAAAATGGAGGGGAAGTAGGGGAAGGTGAGAAGGAATGAGTGAATCTTATTCTCATAGGATTTGGCTTAATGAGGGAATAACATACACACTCAAATGGGTATGGAGATCTATCTTACCCTACAGGAAAATAGGGGGGAAGGGGACAAGGGCACAGGGGGATGTCAGAGGGGAGGGCAGATTGGGAGAGGGAGTAATCAGAAGCAAACACTTCTGAGGAGGGACAGGGTCAAAAGAGAGAACAGAATAAATGGGGAGTGGGATAGGATTAAGGGAAATAGTTAGTTTTTCACAACATGACTACTATGGAAGTGTTTTGCATAACTGCACATGTACAACCTGTATCGAGTTACTTGACTTTTCAATGAGGGTGGGTGGGGAGGGAGGAAGGGAGAAAATTTGGAACCTAAAGTTTTAAAAACACATGTTAAAAAAAATTGTTTTCACATGCAACTGGGAAATAAGAAATACAGGAAATGGGGTACAAAAATCTATCCTGCCCTACAGGAAAATAGAAGGGGAAAGAGATAAGAGAAGGGGGGGAAAGACAGAAGAGAGGGCAGATTAGGGGAAGGGGTATTCAGAATGCATGCCATCTTGGGGTGAGGGGGAGGGATGAGATGGGGAGAAAATCTGGAAGTCAAAATCTTGTGGAAGTAAATGTTGAAAACTAAAAATAAATAAATTTTTAAAAATATATATATATAAAAGAAAAAACAAATATCTGTTACATATACCTTGCATTTCTTTTAAAATACAGAATAAATTCAACATTTAACTTTCAAAAATAAAATAAAATAAAACATAAGCTTCTTACAAAAAAAAGAAAAAAAAAAGCCAGCCCTCAAGCACCAAGTAAGGCAATGGATTAGAACAAAACTTCTGGGAAAAGCTTCTATATACAATGTACAACTAAAAATCAAGGAGAGTTGATATAAGAAGTAAGAAAGGTGACTAATTTCCTTGATTTATAGATTTATTTCTTTGAAGAATTATCTCTAAAATTAAGTTTAATATTATAACTTGTTAAAGTTTAAGTAAGTTGAATTATTTTAACAAAAAGTCAGATTTGTGACAAATGAAGAAGAGTCATGGTCACAAATCTATAAAAACTTGAGCACAGAACACCATCTTTCCTTTCAGGCAAGGGAAATGCATGACAGTTCAGACCACAGAGGCAGCAAATGATAACAGCACAATAAAATGGCAGGTTAATTTTTTCTTGAGGGGTAAGTAAACTTCCTCTAAAAATGGCTTTACAAAATTAAGGTTAAAAGATAGCAAACTCTGGACTGGGAGAGTCAGGAAACCTGGTTGTAGTTCCAGCCAAGCTATAAACTAGTTGTATAAGCTTGAATAAAATACTTTTCTAGACCTCAGGCTTCTCACCTAGAAAACGACCTAGATCCAAAAGCAAAATTACCATTTCAAAATTATCCACCACAAATAGGCTTAATGTTGCTAGACTAATACTTTACTCGGGGTGGGAAAGAAATAGGAAGAGGATGGTGAAGGGCAAAGGGGGAAATTTTATAGCATCGGACAATTTACAGCAAACTATTTAGGTTAAAATTTAGCACTGATTATATACTATTGACAAGGTAAAACAAATTCTCCTTTTTTAAAATCACTGCAAATAGGCAGGGTCAAACTCATCTTCTATATATACAGTCAATTATTAGGTAGCAATATAATTAGCATATTCAATAAACTTTTATTAAGTCATTATAACAATGGAATGGGGGAAAAAAGGAAAAAAAAATAACCAAAATGCTAAACTCACCTCCTGACCAGATTTTCCTGAGTTCTCTGAATGCAGTGACTCAATCTCTCCTTCAATCATGGCAGCTTCTAGGCATTCATGTAAATCTTTGAAACCATTGACTTGAAGTGGATACTGACCAAACATTTCTGTATTTTCAAATTTTTTACCTTGAGAAAAAAAGAAAATTAAATAAATTCATGTTTCTAGATTTGATCTTTCAGCTTCTATAAAATAGTATGTTATAATATATTGTTTAACGAATACATAAACTCCATAAAAATAAATTTTCTATATTTCACAAGGTATCTAACAATTAATGGAACAAAAAATTACCCAATAGTAAGTTATATATTATGAAAAACTGCTTTGTTCCCTATGTGTGAAGCTCTAATGTAAGAATAACAAGTATTGTCTAAACACTGTGCACTTGGTATAGGACACTGCATCTTGGTTCATCACTGTCAAAAATCCAAGGGCTAGATCAAGTAGTATCTGATCTAGCATCTATTAGTACCTACATTCTCCTCTTTGTCAGTATGAAAATTGATGGTTCTTCAACCAAAAGTGTTCTGCCCTCCTTGGGAACAAAGTTATAAACTGTAAGGTCAAAACAAAAAGCAAATACCAAACTCACAAAGGAACAGAAGAGAAATGCAGACCTATATTGTTTTAAGTAAGAGATTCCCTCCTCTCTCTCCATACAAGGCTCCAAATGGCTCTCTATTCTATTGAACATACAAATAACACACTGAAAAGTAACTTTCTTGGTATGTTAGTTGTAAGTATCCATCTAATTAGCAATAATTACTTATCCACAGTTATGTTGTGTATACACATACACACACATATATATAATGTATGGTTTTAGGAAAAACCTGGGAAAACTTGTATGAACTGTTAAAAAATGAAGTGAGCAGAATAATTTACACAATAATAATACTGCAAACACATAGCTATGGATATGTATTTGGATACAGATATAGATATATATTTGTACAAAGCTAATGTGAGAATTTTGTTCAGATACAAACGTTTGTAATAGGTTTCGTTTTTCCTGCTTTCTCAATGGGGAGAGGGAGTAGCAGAGAGAAAATTTGGAACTGAAAATAAAATAAAACTTAATTTAAAAAAAATTTAAACCTTTTTAAAACAGCTTGTGGAACCTACTATATAGTTACATGACAAGAAAACTAAGAATTCAAAAGAGAGAACTATCTACAAAAATAGAAAATACCCTAATTAATAAAATATGAAAAAGAGATCTTAAAAAATTCACTGTTAGAAAAAGAAACTGAACTAGCTATAAAAGAATTAAAAAGGGGGCAAGGAAAAAATGAGAGGAATGTGTTTTTATAGGAGAATTATGTTAGGAGAAAAGCCTTCAAGTACAAAGGAAAGGAAATTCAAACAGCACAACACTATTCTGGACACACTAGAGAAAGCAGGAAGGAATGGAATATATTCCAGAGATCAACGGAACTCAAGAACGTGACCTACCCTGAAAATCTGAGCCTAACCATAACTGACAAAAGATGGATGTTCAATAAAAAAGGTGTTAGAATCATTCTTAGGAAAAAAAAAAAACCTGAAAAGATCGTTTGCTTTTTAAACACATCATGTAACAGCATACAAGAATGATAAACAAATACAGCAACCAAAGACAAGCATAAAATAATAACAGAGAGATCATTAAGAGAATTCTTTCTAAATGTATATGACTAGACAAGGGCGAAAGCAGAAGTCAAGCAGAAGTGATGGTGGAAATACTTACACTACACAAATTATTCTCAAAAATTCAAAATGAAAAGTAGCCTCTCAGATTCTTTTTATGACACAAATATCTACTGAATACCTTAAATTTGGAAGAAAAATGAAAAAACAAAACAAAACAAGAGAACTGAAGACCAATATCATTAATAGATATTAATTCAATAATAATAAAAGTTAGCCTACTATATGTCAGGCACAGTGCTAAGTGCTTTACAAATATTATCTCATTTGATCTTCAACCTTACGAGATCAGGGCTATTATTACCCTGCATTTTGCAGTTGAGGAAACTGAAGCAAATGTAGGTTAAGTGACTTGTCCAAAGTCACACAGCTGGCAAGCATCTAAGGCTGGATTTGAACTCAGGTCTTCTTAACTCCAGGCCTGGATCTTTCTCACTACACCACTTAGCTGCATAGTTAGAGTTCTTAGGATTTTTGTTTAAAAAAAAAAAAAAAAAAAGCCTGGTTTCAAAAAATAAAAACACTACAATATAGCAATTTTATTCAAAGACAAAACAAAACAAAACAAAAAGCCATTCACTATGATCAAGATGGATTTATATAAGGGAAGTTAAGATAATTCAACATTAGGAAAGCAATTAGTATGATTAATTAATAACAAAAACATGGAAAATATCATTATAACAGTAGATGTAGAAAAAAGGCATTTGACTAATTAAGACTCATTTATGCTAAAAACTTTATAAAACCCAGGTACAGAAGGTCATTTTATTAACACTGTACAAGTACCAATTTATATCAAAACCTATCATTATATGTAATGGGGAAACACTATAGCAATCCCAATAAATATAGAAGTAAAAACAAGGATACTCTCTTTTCCCCACTGTCACCTGACATAGAATTAGAAATACTAGTAACTGAACTAAGATAACAGAATGAAATTAAAAGCACAGAAATAAGCAGAGGGGACAAAACTTTTTATTTACTGATGTTTTACTTAGAAAATCCTAGAAAGTCAGCAAAAAAAACCCCAAAATAAACAAACAAACAAAAAACAAAAAACCCTTAACTGAGATATTAAGGATTAGAATATGATAAGCCCAGGAAAATGAAGAGCATATATAATACAGAAATAGCAAAATCCAAGAAGCAGTAATAGAAAGAGAAGTCCCATTGAAAACAACTGAAAAACGTTTATAAGTGGAGGTGAGTCTCTTCAATGTATCTATATAGGAAAAATTTTAAAAAGCACCTTACAGAAATAATGACAACTAATGAATTGTTTTTATATTAATTAAAGGAATTTGTAGATTTTATGCTGTAACAATATAGACAAAAACAGATTCACTTAGACAGACAAAAGATCTGAAATACCAAGGTAACTAATTTTATATGGAGGATTAAACAGGGAAGAGAATGATCAGACCTCAAACTAACTTATAAAACTAATCTTCACAACTAGTAGCTAATTATTAAAAAATAGAATGTTAAATTAGTGGAGTAGATTAGATAAGGAAGACTTAGAAGTAATTAAACTTAATAAAGCAAATATTTGATAAAATCTAAAACATAAATTGCCTAGGAATGAACTCCCTATTTGATAAGAAGTATGGGAAAAATAAAAAAAGTGGTCAGGCAGACATTACATTTAGGCAAACTCTTACATGATATACCACAAAAAAATTTAAAATGGATATGTGACATGAATATTAAGATTATACCATAAAATAATTTGAACAGAAGCAGTTCAGGCACCTTTCACAGCTATGGCTAGAGGGAGAATTACTAATCCAACAAGTGATAGAAGCAATTACAAGAGATAAAAAGGATAAACTTCAATAGATGAAATTTAAAAGATTTTCAAACAAAAAAAATTAATATATCCAGGACACAAATTCTTAACCTGGAGTCCATGAACTTAAAAAATATATATAATCTGATAACCATATTTCAACATAATTGGTTTCCTTTGCAAAACTATTTATTTTGTACATTTCAAACTATTATTCTGAGCAGCAGTGAATAGTTTCAAGTAGTTGCCAACAGGGTCAATGACAGAAAAAAAAAATTTCCAATCTAGGGTAAGAAGGGATGCAGGCAACTGGGAAAATATCTTCTTATCAGATAGCTAGATAAGATCTAATATTTAAGACATAAGACAGAAATAACAAAAAGTTTTAAGAACAAAAGTCATTCCTCAAGAGAGAAGTTTCTGACAAAAATTAACTATTCAAAAAAGAATGATAAATTATTAAAAAACATATATTCAATTTTATTAATGGTAGGAATTAAAATCAAATTATTATGAGATTTCACCTCACACCCAACAAACTGGCACAGATAACAAACATTAGGAAATCAGTGCTGGAGTATGTGTGAAAAGGTGATATTGATTACACCATTCTGAAAAGCAGTTTGGAATTATGTTGAGAAAGTAACTAAAATGTTCATATTCTTTCATATAAATAATCCATTGATAGGCATATAGCTTAAAGATGTCAATTATAAAAAAGAAATGACCGATGTAAATAAAATAACTATGAGTATCACTTTTTGTAGTAACAAAGAACTCCAAACAAAGAAAATACACATTGAATAAGGAATGGCTAAACAATCTGGAGTACATAAACATAATGGAATATTACTGTGCTATGCATATGAAGAACACAGAGATGCACAAAAAGACTATGTGAACAGAAATAGTGAAATGATAAAAAAGAATATAATACATACAATGACTACAATAATGCAAATTAAAAGAACAACAACAATTAATTCCATAAAGTTAAAATGGCCAAGCTTGGACCCATAATAGAAATATAAAAACGTTATATCCCCTACACTTCTTTGTAGAGTTGGGGACATTATAGATATGGAATACTATACATAAAGTAAGACTTTTTTGATATATTAGATCTACTAAACTATTTCCCCTCATACTCCTTTTTATTCCTTGGTATAAGTGATGGCTCTCTGGGAATGGGGTATGTTGGAAAATGTAGGTAACATAAAAATACATCAATTAAATTTACTTTTAAAAGAATATATGTATACTTACATTTATTCTCTCTGTGCGATATATATATGTATATATACAAATACGTACGCATATATCATATAAATATAATATTACATATTATATTATTACAATATGATATATAATGTATTATATTATTATATAATATACATTTTAATATATAAAATACATGGCATATAATATTGTGGATATCATATATACTCATTACATATTATATATAAAACAAATATACAATACTACATATTTTATATAACATAGTATGTTATACTATATTATATATTTTTATATAATACAATATAGTATATGAATATATTATATGTATATATAATTTACATATGCAAATATATTTATATATACATATATGTATATATACATATATAGCACAGAGTAAATACAAAATAAATAGAAAGGTAATTAAATATAATAACATAGGTAGATTAGAAAAAAGTTAGTATAGAAGATAGTATGTGAGCTGCATCTTGAGAGAGAGTCTGTGAAACAGGGAAGGAGAAAGTGTATTTCAGACATAATAAATAGCCAATGCAAAGGGACAGAGATGTGCAGATGGAGTACATGGGTGAAAAAAAGAGGGAAAAAGTCAGATAAGTGGCACTGTAAAGTGAAAGACAGGAAGTAAAGTAGAATGAGGCTGTAAAGACAGACGGGGGCAAGGTTGTAAAGATCCTTAAAAGTAAAACATAAATTTTCATATTTTATTCAAGGGGCAATTTGGGAGCAACTGAAAATTACTGAATCAGTGAGTGATATAGATCAGTGCTTAAGGAACATCACATTGACAGCTATGTGGCGGATGGACTACAATAGAGTTTTGTAGCAGAAAGACCAATTAAGAGACCACTGCAATATTCTAGGCAAGAGGTTGTTAAGGAATGTTAAGGGTTCCCCTGAACTTGTCTTTTTGTATTGCCATACGTTTCAGAAACACTGGACCCAGAATATGCAGAAGGCTCTGAATGTGTCAAGGACAAAGCCCCTGCCCCAAGCTGACATAATCTGTTATTTGCACCCCAAGCTGGTCTTCCTGTGTGTCCTTGGTAGTCAAAAGAGGCACCAGTCAGTCTGCACCAGATTGAGAAACTGTGCAGCTGGGACCCTTGTAGATAAGCAGACCATCCTATCTTCTTAGCCCAGCAGTTCCCAAGGAAAAAATGCTGCTTCTGCCCTCTTAATTCTTCATTATTTCTCCTTCCCTGTCACTCCCATGTAGGTGGAGATTTCTGTTTCTCTTCCTCTCTTTGTCACAATTTCATAAATATGCAACCTTCTATTTGGATTGTGAACTCTTTGCACTTGCACATTGCATGTGGAACATGCATGTTCATTTCTCTTAAAATAAAACTAGTTTTCATGTTAAGTTTTGTGAAGTTGTGATTGCCCGTTGACAAGGTTAACTTAAGTAGTGACTGTTTAGGTAGTGAGAAGGGGATGGATGTGAAAGATATGATGGAGATAGAAATGACAGTATTTGGCAACTGATTCATTATGTAGGGTGAAGATAAGGAATCAAGTGCAACTTTAAGGTTAAGAACCTGAGAGACTAGGAGAATGGTGATGTTTTCAACAGAAATAGATAGGAAAGCTAGCAGAGAGAGGAATTTGGGGAGGAAAGAAAATAAGTTCTGATTTGGACATGGTAAACTGGAGATGACTCTAGAATATTCAGTCTAAAATTTTGACTAGACAATTGGTAATGTGGGACCGGAGTTGAGAAGAAAGACTAGTGCTATACATAGAGATCTGTTATTGTTCTACATAGAGATGCTAATTAAATTCATGGAAACTGCTGAAGTTAGCAAGAGAATGTCTTGAGAAGCCTATCAAGAGCAGAGACTCCAAAGCAAAGCCTTGGGGAATGCAAAGGGAGATAATATTGTTGAGACAGCAAAAGCGATTTAGGAGTAGTCAGAAAGGTAGGAGAAGAACGAGGAAAGAGCAGTATTATGATAACACAGAAAAAAAAGAGTATCCAGGAAAACAGTATAGTGAACTATACAACAGAGAGGTTAAGAAGGATGAGGACCAAGAAAATATGTAGCAATTAAGAAATTTTTAGTCACTTGGTAAAGAACAGTCTCAATTAAGTGATCACTTCAGAAGCCAGCAAACAATTGCTGAGTGAGATGTGAGAAAGTGAAGGCAGCAAATATAGACAGATTTTTCTAGGAGTCTGGCTGAGACCAGGAGGAAAGACATATGATGATAGATTGAGGGGATGGAAGAGTAGGATGAAGGTTGTTTAAGAGTGAGAGGTAGCATGATATACTGGATCAAACACTATAGAAGTCCTCAGCTGAGAAGGTCAGGGGAGATGGAACTGTGCTCTAGAAAAAGAAAAAAAGGTTTGGAGTGGGATGGGAGACTAGGCATGGAGGTAGAAAAGGATTTCCTTGCTTCAGTGAGGGCCCACCTGAATAACATAAATCTGTTGGACTGTTTGTGTACTCAGTCCACATAGTTGTGGGTATTTCCTCTAGCTCTATTCCTTTCATAAATAGAAGCTGAGGATAGCAGAGGTAAGCCAGAGCCAAGGAGGACAAGGGGCTGAACACTTTCAGAATATGAAATTGAATAGGTTAACTATAGGATTGAGATTGGGATGGGAGGTAAGTAAAGTCAGAGTGGGAGTAATAGCCTAAGGAAGCAAAGAGGGGTGGAAGGATTAAAGGTTGCAGTGAGGGAGAATAGGTTTTGGAAAATTTATTAGTTGTGTGACTTTTGGCAAGTCACTTAACCTCTTTGCCTCTATTTCCTCATCTGTATAATGTTGGGAAGAACAAATGAGATAATGTTAAGAATTTTAGAAATCTTATGGTATTAAATAAGTGTTATTCATTAATAATTCTTGTAATATAATCTATAAATTTCTAAGTTAGATAAAGTATTAGGAATTGTCTGAATTTTCAAATTTTTTTTTCATTTCAACTCAATGTGTACTTTGTGTGGTATGATGAAAAGAAAAGGGGCTGGGGGTCAAGAGAGCTGGGTTTAAACAATGGGACATTGTACTATGTTATGGAGATGCTTGTTTTATTCCATAAACTAAAAATAAAATAGGGGGAAGCTAGGTGGTGCAGTGGATAGAGCACCAGCCCTGGATTCAGGAGGACCTGAGTTCAAATCCAGCCCCAAATATGTTAACACTTACTAGCTGTGTGACCCTGGGCAAATCACTTACCCCCATTGGCCTAGACAAAAAAAAAAATTAAATTAAATTAAATTAAATTAAAAAATAAAAAATGGGGCACTGGGCATGTCACTTCATGGTTCTGAGCTTCTGTTTCATCACCTCTTAAGTGAGAAATTTAAGCTAAAAGACCCCAAAGCACCCCTCCAGCTCTAAGGCTAAGATTATAAGCTTGTAAACACGTAGGCTAAATAAAGCCACTTTAATGTGACTAAAATATAATCAATTACTTTCAGTACTTTAACTGACTCAGAATTATCAAGAGATTTAGTGCTGGAGAGACAGAATGGTTTCAAAAGCTTCATAATTTGTTTCTTATTCAAATACCAGAACAAGTTTTATAAACTATTTCATTCTTCCTGTTCTCTCTCATTAATCACATCATTCACTGCTAAGTGTGTGTTAAGATGAAGGAAAAAACTGAAATTTTTCTAAGACCAATCAATGAGAAAGTGGTAATAAGAACCATATCATCTTTTTCATTTATACAAATTATAAAATTTTATATACTAAAACAGTCCAGGAGCTACAGTAACAACAGGGAACTGTTGAAGAGTGAGTCAAATCAAATAATGCTTATTATGTGTAACAAATTGCTATGCTACCAAATGTATATATACATGTATGTATATGTATATGTATATGTATATGTGTGTGTGTGTATATATATATATATATATATATGAAAAAAACTTTACCTTCAAGCACTCCCACTGCTAGGAACCTTCCATAGAACAATTCTAGCATTGGGTTCTTTGGTTTCTCTCCATCCCTGGAAAACATTTTTTAATACATAAACATAGTTACAACTTCTAGATTTATAGATAGTGATTAAACAAAAACATTTAAAAAACTATATTAAAAAAAATAGCACTGTGACTTACAGTACAATGAAAACAATAAATTTTGAACCCTCATATACAGGGTATTTTAAAATCTCAGATTTTACATCAGGAACTTCTAGCCTAGAGGCTATGGACTTTTAAAAAATATATATACTGATAAATATATTTAAATATAATGGATTTCCTTAGTTCCAATCCTATGAATTTTATTTTATGCATTTAAAAATATTCTTATGAGAAAAAATTCACAGGCTTTACCAGTCTGACAAAAAGGTTCATGACACAAAAAAAGTAAAGAATCTCCATTTTAGATTACATCACTACACATATGACTAATTCTATAAATAGTACTAACTGAATCAGAAGAAATGAACACAATGCTTTTATATTTTATTTTCAGATTTTGTGCATTATTCAGTACTACAGATCCAGCTAATTTTACCTCTTACATGAGCAGGCTATTCACTTGGAAGGAAATGAAGTCAGAGTATGCAGTAAATACAAATGTTTAATACAATACAGAAAGTACTTTCAATTTCTCAGTTAAATTTTAGCTAACTTAATGTTATTTAATTCATAAAAATCTTTAGGTATGTACCAACAACAAATATAAGTGGCCATGCCCACTAGCTCTTCCAGATATTTCTTTCTTTACTTGAATAAGTTTTCATATTATCAAAGGTAAAAGAAATTAATTTATTCTTTACATCAAGGATACAAGCTAAGAATTACATTTCTTGTTCATAAATGTAGTCAAAACTATTAATAAGAAAAGCATTTTTTTTTGGTAAGATATGAGTAGGAAGGTGGTCTGGATCTGTGATTTTATAAGTTCAGAGAATTTCCTGGTGTGGAAACTATCTCAATTGATGTGAGTTAATAATTCATCTTTAACTTACAGTCTTAAGAGATTTGCCTGGGGCACTAGCAGTTCAAATGACTTGTTAGTTAATGAATCAAAGATTGGCCTTCTATCTACTATGCTACACTAACTTTCCAATTATCTGATAAATTTGTTAATTTTATATACTGTAGTTTCCTAACCTGTATTTAGTCTTCTTAAATGGCTGATTGCATGACAGATTGTAAAATATACATAAATCCTAAATAACAAAGCATCACATCTGTTATACCTCCCTTTAAAGAAGAATAGAACTAAAGAAAATACAAAACATAGGCACTAATTTCATGAGGAAACTTACCTTTCCTCTTCAGCTTTCATTTGGAAGGCATCTTCTAACCAATCTAATAATTTGTGTGTGAACTCACTCACATCTTGCTGTATTTAAAAAAAAAAATTATTATATTTTTCCTAAGTTTTTTTAAACTATCACATTCTAAAAGTAAATTCTGTAAAGTGTCCAAATACCATGTTCAAAAAAATTTTATACTAAACATTACAAATGATTTTATATGAAAACTGGATAATACATTGAAAATTACTACTCTATAACATATGCCTTACATTAAGAAAATCCAATATTAACACAAGTCGAAACTTCAAGTCATTAAAAGGATTCCTCAAATAATACAAGGGTTTAATTTTTTTTTCATCAAACTACACTTGAATTTTCCTAAACACGTGTATACTTTGGAATATGCAGGAATAAATTACTCAACAAAACAAAAATTCCACAAGCTACTTTCATCTCCCAAGTGAGAAGTGTCAAAATTTATTGGAAAATTCTTTCTATATATAGGATTACATTAAACCTAGTTGTAACTTTACGATATGAGGGAAAATAGAAAGGACTGAAGACTCTTCTTATCACAATACTCCCATACTTCAGTAATTTTGAGGTCAGGAAGGACATTAAGATTTAACTACAGCTACTATTTATTTTGCTTTTTTTTTTAATAATGACAACTTAGTTGAGTTGTCAAAACTAATTGTTATTTGCTATAGTAATTTTTATTCCTTGAAAATTTGTTCTTCTAGGTGAGTAAAAGATATCTGTAATTCAAGAGGTTAATGTTAGAAAACTGGTGAAACAGAAGATGCCAAGTAGTCATGTAATTCCCTAAACAAACCTGAACAGAAATATATCCTACATTAACAAACTTGAGGGGTGGAGTTGGGGGTAGGGGAAAATCACAGAAAAGAGGGGCATTTCTTCTTTTAGGAGGACCTATATTCTTTTTATGTATGGTTTTTAGAGACAAGAAATAGCAAAATACTGTAACTCTTTTGCTCTGTTGATTGACATGGCTATTATTTGTGTCTAAATCTTTAAACCCTTGCTCCCCTTAGGATGACTCAACTCTGAGGCCTACTTGATGACTGTTGGGTGACTGTAGAGGGGAGAGTGGGGTGACAGGTGTATGATATGAGCAGCCCTACCATGTTGCTCACTTTCTGGTGGGCTCCACATCCACACTGACTCCCTCCCACCCACTTCTTCTTTAGGTTTGGTCCCCTCCATTAGAATATAAACTCCTAGAGAACAGTTGTTTTGCTTTCTCATTGTTGTATGCGCAGTTATTAACACAGTATATATATATTTTTATTTAAATGATAATTAAATTAATGTTGGATGCCAATGGGTCTTATGTAACATTTTCTAGCTAGATGTATGTGTATATATATCACCCAGCTGGAAAACTCTGTGTGTATATGTGTATGTGTGTGCGCACACGCATGTGCGTGAACATCAAAGACTCAAACGGAAAAAGGGGCAAAATTTTAAACAAAACACCATAAAATGATTTTCCTTTAATAGATTGCTCTGGGTGGGTGCATGTGTTTTGTGTGCGCGACGTATGTGTGCCTGTGTATGCCTGTGTATGTGAAAGACAGACAGGTCAAGTCAACAACATTCATTAAGTTTTTACTACATGGCAGGCATTGTGCTAAGTACTAGGGATATAAAGAAAGGAGACAAAAAAGTCTGCAATCTAGGAGCTTATAGTCTAATCAGACTAAATGTAATTAGCCATAAATGAATATCCCTGTAAAAGCTACCTGTTGTGAGCCATTCGATTTGAAAGCATCTTTAAGAATATCAACTGCTCTTGAAGGATCAACATATTTTCTTTTAGAACCAACAAGAAGTGCAAACAGATGCCGCAGCTCACGCATAAAAGGCAAATTCCGATGTTCCTAAATTTTAAAAATAAAAAAGATTAATAAAAATTGCATCCTCATGAGATAATCATTCTGAAATTAGCTAAGAATACACTACAAAACAAATGGGTGGCATGTCAGGCATCCAACTATCCATCATATACAAATAAGGAAAAGCAGATCTGGGAACATTTAGGGCGTCCAAGAAAAAGTCATATAGATCAGCAATGTAATTGCCATTATGGTCAGAAATTGAGTGTTCCTTCTTACATGAAGGTACATGCTACCTCCTAAATGAAGCCTTCCTCGATTCCCAATCCTCCTCCTACCCCCAAGCCTTCCCTGATTTCTCTTAATTCCAATCTCTCATAATTCTTTGAATCTTTCCTGTATCTTTTTTTGGGGGGGGGGGTGGGAGTCTTTAACTCTTGGCCATAAAGAATTCTCAAAAGGAAACTCAATTGCCTATTGGTGTGTGCTAAAACTTACATTCTACCTTACATTATACTTTTTTTGTGTGTTCCTGTTTTATCTCACACATTAAACTATAGTCTCCCTTAGGGGAAGCACTATGCATCTTTCCACTCTGCCATCCTTGGTCTTACACTAGACAGATTGATTGATTGATTGATTGTTTTAATAATCTGTCTATTTCACTGGTGTGAAAAGCATGAAAACAACCCAATAACCACATTAGCAGACAATCATGAACTGCTATGGTTCATAATTTCACCACCTGGTAATTAATTTTGTGTTTTGGTGATGGTTCATACACACACACACACACACACACACACACACACAAGGTACTTAATAATGCTTATCTGACTGAACTGACTGACTCACACACTGTTGCTTAAGCTATTTCCCACCCTATTGTGTTTTCCTCATTTCTTTCTGCCTAACCAAAAACTTAAGACAATTGATGATACTGAAATTCTTTTGAATCAAGATTCTAAAGTCCTATAACTGATAGCACTGCTGTCACATATGGCTAGGTTACAAAACAATCAATGTGCTTATGGTCACAAGGAGGAGTAATTAGAGGATTGGCCTTAGAGTCAGGAAGACCTGTTTCTGACACATGCTAGCCAATTGTCTTGTTCTACTACCTTCCTCAAGATTATTGGTTATAGAAGGTCTGGCAATTTGCAGTGGTGGAAAAGTTTTTATGCTGGCAGTTGCCCACATTGATAAATGACTGACACACAAAAATGTTCTCATTCTCCCTGGTCTGTTTTGTGTAAAGAAACTGAAAGAGGCACTGATTTTCTCCAGAACTGGATCATAAGGATCACAGATTTAGAGCTGGAAGGGACCACAGAAGCCACTGCATTCATCCTACCTTGTTTTTACAGATAAGGAAACTGATGAACAGAATGACTAAGTGACTTGCCATTTATATCTAAAATTTGTAGAATTCTTATCTGCCTTTTAAAACTGCTTGTTTCTTTTATTTTTTAGATGATTATGTCTCCATAATCTTGCACAGTAATACAAAGTGCACTTTGTACCTGAACACCTTAGGATTATTAAATTTCACGTATGCAGGGATGCCTGAGTTAGATCTAAGTTCATTATTAAATTTAATCAGAAACTAGTAAGTCATTTTAATAGCCCCTAAAAGCATTTCATTAGGACCACCTTAATTGGATGCCATAACAATCAATGACACCGCTATGCATCAAACCTAAATATTTGTTTCACAGTATTTTATATTTTATTTTACAGTGTTCAATAGTTGTCAACATGCTAAACTAAAATCATATGCTGTATCCAAGAGAACTTTATAAAATCAAGAACTATGCTATAAAAACCATTCCTCAAGAATGGCTACTATTCTCATGCTTTTTATAAGAAAAAAAGGGTATATATTCGTTATCTAGAAAATTAATTTTTAAAAAAGACAAAAGAAAACAATTGAAAATAATGCTAAATACAGTACATGTAAATTAGTATTAAAAGTTTAAAAAAAGTTATTTTATTTAAAAAGAACATTTAAAAACAGTCTTCTACCACAGTACAAAGTACAACGGAAAATGTGCTTTAGGACCTTTTAAGACTTCTAGACAACTTGAAAGCCACAAGGCTATATGACTTGTATGCCTCTTCAAGAGACAAGCTGGAATTCAGTGGACACAGAAAGCACCAAAATAGAAGAACAAAAAATAAGTTACATATAAGGAACAAGAAATGACTTAATGGAGAAGTGCCAAAAATTTCTGAATCAAGTATTTATATTCAGTCAGTTCACAGAGTAGTCAGAACAAATCAGAAGAAAAGATAAAGATGTGACAGCAGCAACTCAAAGCCAAACTGCTTTGTTTTCGAATCCACAAATGGAAATGGAAAAAATAGACACTGATTCTATCACTTTTTGTTAAAAATGTGACTGACACAGAAATAAGCCAAAAGGCAAAAAGATCCCAGAAGTAACATCTGCCAGCAAAGAATTTCTGTCAAGTAAACATTGTAGACAAGGACAGCACCAATTGAAAGTAAAAGTCAATCTTCCATTATTTAAAAAATAACCAAAATCATATCAAGACTTAAAAAGAGAATTAAGTAATACTCAAAAAACTTCTACATTTCAGTCCTAGAAAAATGTAATAATAATGGGAAAGTTTAGATTGAACACCAAGTTTGGGAAATCACAAGTTGAGTTTCTCAGATTCAATTAAATGGAAATTCCACCTAAATAGTAAATAAAAATGGAGAACCAGGGGAGAATATAGTATTTTCCCATGATAGGCAATTCAACTACATTCTCACCTGGAATGACAGCACTCTTGCCCAGTGTTGACCATAGTTGCTATCTCCTTCCCTCCTTGTGGTGCCCACTGCTAAACTGAACCAAATGAATCATGATAAGGGTTCTGCCCTGGAAAACTCCTAAGGTTTCTAGTGCTCAGATCCTCTAACCTTCCATATCTTTATAAATATTCTCCCAACATATCTACAGTCTTTGGGCATATTCTCAGCATTGGCCATACACCTCAAGTTAGGTCAAGTCAGGTCAATAAGCATTCCTTAAGCACTTACTATATTCCAGACACTGTGCTAAGACCTGAGGATACAAAGAACATGAAAAAAAAAAGTTCTTGCTCTCAAAGAACATAATTCATAGTCTAATAAAGGAGACATCATGTAAAGAATGAGGTTTTAACAAGATATATACAGAATAAATTGGAGATAATCTGAGAAGGGAGGGAGTAACATTAAGGGAGATTGGAAAAGGTTTCTTATAGAAGGTGGCTTGGACTTGAAGGAAGCCAAAAGCCTAATATGGAGAGAGAGTATTCCAGGCAAGGGGGACAGGGAAAAGAAATGGAACTAGGAGATCGAATAACTTTTGTGAGGAAAAGCAAGGAGGCCAATAAGGAATTTTATTCCTTGCTGCTGTCAGATCTTTATCTTTTCTTCTGATTTGTTCTGACTACTCTGTGAACTGACTGAATATAAATACTTGATTCAGAAATTTTTGGCACTTCTCCATTAAGTCATTTCTTGTTCCTTATATGTAACTTATTTTTTGTTCTTCTATTTTGGTGCTTTCTGTGTCCACTGAATTCCAGCTTGTCTCTTGAAGAGGCATACAAGTCATATAGCCTTGTGGCTTTCAAGTTGTCTAGAAGTCTTAAAAGGTCCTAAAGCACATTTTCCGTTGTACTTTGTACTGTGGTAGAAGACTGGTGGGGGAATAAGGAATAAAATTCAAAAGATAAGAAGGGGCCAACTTACGAAAGGCTTTAAAAGTCAAACAAAGGATTTTATATTTGATACTGGGGGAAACAGGGAACCAATTATTTTATATCGGGTATGACATAGTCAGACCTGCACATTAAGAAAGTCAATTTCACAGCTAAGTGAAGGACAGATGGGAGCATGGAGATACTCAGGGGACAGGGAGACCAACATCCCAGGAGAAGCTCTTTGGTTTGCTCCCCCAGAACAAGGCTACAGTGGATGCCTCCTGTTACTATAGACTTTGCTGGAATTTTTGTGATGGAAGTAACAACCGGACACATAGGCTAGTGAAGGAAGCAAGAGGAGTATGTTGTTTGTTTTGTAGATCAGTGTAGGAAAGTTGTTCCTACAGTTTAACCCCCTTTTCAACTCCTCATCCACCCCAGTGTGGCCACTAGGATGTATAGAAAGAATTTCCCCGTTAAGGTAAAGTCCATCCAAATAAGGAAGCAATGCCATTTCTTGCTAATTAAAAGCAATAAAGGCATTAGTGATGACTGAAAAGGAATTAATCTTATAACTGGATGATATAAGCTATAAATATGTGTTTATCCATGCAACAAGTTGCAAAAAAGTCTCAGCCTCCATGTACTGCTCAACTTATTCAAATGTTATCTAACGGAAAGGAATTAAAAGCTAGGCAATTGACAATGTAAGATTAATACTTCATGCACTGACTTTGGAACCTAACTCATGAATAAGAAGTAACTACAATTGTATAGGCAGGCATATCAGGGGAAAGTATTTATTTAATTTTACCTTTTGGTTTCGAGGTAAATCTTGAGCACTTGCAGGAGGATTGTAATTCAATACTAATCTTCGAAATTCCAGAAGATTAAATAATGACTGAAAAGAAATGAGATATTTAACATTTTTAAGGGAGGAAAAACAAAACTATTAATATAAGTTTTTTTAATGACTTATTTTCTAGTCAGACAGTCAACAAGTATATATTAAGTACTGGGTTCCAGACACTGTGCTAAAACACTGGGAACATAAGCAAAGGCAAAAAAAAGTCCCTTGTCAAAAAATTCAATCTAATGGGGGAAACAAGACACATACAGGATAGATTGGAGATAATACCAGAGGGAAAGAACTAGCATTAAGAAAAACTGGGAAAGTTTTCTTATAGAAGGTACAATTTTACCTGGGACTTGAAAGAACCCAGGTGAGAGAGATGAAGAAGGAGATAATTCCAGGCATGGAGGAAAGCAAGTGATAAGTCCTGGAGTTGGGAGGTGGAGTATCTTGTGTGAGGAGGCTACTACTGTATTTTTAAAATGTTAATTCTTCATCTAGTTTAGGAATTGTTAGATGCATTCTATCATATAGGCAATGACTCAAACACCACAGGCTCAGTCTTGCCTCTATCCCTTTTATCATACTATAAATACCTTGAATATCCTTCTCCTCTCTTAGCTAAATCCTTCCTATCTTTTTTTTAAAGCCCAGCTCAATTTTCACCATATGTCCTTGAAGCTTCCATATAGTGCAATCTTTACTTATTTCTTTTTTATGATTCGTAGAGAGCTTAAAGTTTGCACCATACAATTTAGCATTCAATGAGCATTTATTAATGAACTATGTCAGACGTTGTACTAGCTGCTGAAGTTAAAAAGACATGAAATTGTTTCTGCCCTTAAGTCGTTTACAAAAAAAAATCGAAAATAAAACATTCAGTCCTTTTGTGGTGCCTTCTAGTTGGTTTTTTAATATCTAAGTCTCATATCTCTGGCCACATTGTAAGCTAAAGGATCAACCAATCAATAAACATTTGTTAAGCCCCTTATTGTAGGCACAGAATTGTACTAGATGTTGGATATACATATACATAGAATAAAACAATTCCTACTGGAAATTAGTCAATATGCATTTATGAAATACCTACTATGTGCTAGGCATTGTGCTAAGCACTAGGGACACAAAGTGTGAAGGGGATCCCTGAACTTGTTTTCTTAAGTTGCCCTGTTTTCCAGAGAAAAACCCCCTTGAACTAACATAATGTTGATCTTTTGCAACTGAATTCTATTAACTTCTCAGTGTCCTTGAAGCTGAGTTAGCTACAAGCCTGGCTCCAGTCAGCCTCACCCAGACTGATAAACCACTTGTGGCATCTTGGCCTTTTCAGATAAGCAAGACCATCTACCTTTATGATCAAGTTACAGAGGTGGGGAACCTGCAACCTCGAGGCCACATATGACCCTTGAGGTCCTCAACTCTTCAAATGTGAAGTTTGGATTCAGTCAAAGGGCCACACCTGAGGACCTAGAGGGCCACATGTGCCCTTGAGGCCGCTGGCTCCCCACCCCTGGAGCAGTTCCCAGGAGGGGACCCACCCATGCTGCACTTTTCTTATGACTGGACCCTAAGGAATTTCTCCCTTTCCCCCTCTTTTTTGCGTCCTCCCTTTCTTGTGGTAACATAAAATCCCAAGGGTTTGCCTGTATCGCAGGCTCCTTTGTACTTAGTATAAGGAGTTCTGACATGCATTTGCCTTTCTCTTGTAATAAATCAAGTTACTACCCATGCCTTGTGGAGCTATGACTTTTTGTTAACAACAGAAAAGCAAAAATTGTGCTGCCCTTACATACATGCTCATTATATACAGGACAACATCCTACACAGGTGCTAGGTCTCCCCTTTGCCTAGTCATCCATATCCACAGATACAGAGGAGTCAGAGCCTACTCCCTATGTGGCAGCTGGTGCCTCCCCAGCCCTGAGGAGCTCACATGCCCTCTTTGAGTTTCTCTTAGACTAGTCATCAATACAAAACTTCAAGGACTTTTGAAAATATTTACATCTGAGTTAGGTTTTACCAAAAGACAAAGAGGATGGTTTCCTCATTCCTCCTGGAATTTTTATGATGACTATATAACGTATGTAATTCTATCCTATCCAAGGACTTTCCATTAAATAGACCAAAGATATTATCAATAATGTTATTAAAGCTAAGACACGAAGGCAGTATTTTTAATAAAGGAGTAAAATTATGCCTCAAATCATAGAACTTTAAAGCAGAAAAGATGCTTTTTAATATCTAGTTCAAAACTTCATTTTATAAATGTGGAACGTAAGAGTAATGGAAGAACCAGGACAAAACTCAGATTGCAGTCCAATACTTTTTTTGCTTAATACCGCATTTCCTGCCTCTCCCCCCATTTGAGGGGAATGTGTCTAATAAATGTACATATACTGTAACTATTTCTCCTATGCCCTAAATAAGGACAATCACTAGGAAAATTATGTCCCAAAAGCATTGCCTGATAGTACATGGTACTTACCCAAGTCACTGCCTATGGTGATTTGATGCAGAAATAAATGAATGAATAAGTAAAAGATCAGCACTCAATATGGGAAGCAAAGAAACTTCAAAATTTGAAAAGCAGGGAATCTAAGACAAAAAAGCCACTGTCTCCATTGTCTCTAAAACTTTTGCTTATCTCTCTTATAGTCAGAAATTCAGTTTCCCTCTTTGAACTCTCATAGAAATTTCCATCAATCTGATGTAAATATAATCTAATACTTAGTAATTGCTATATAAAGTTGTGTATGAATTACTTGGGACAAGCAATGCTTTGGTTGTAGCTTAATTTTATTACTGCAATAGACATGGTATATACTTCTATGGTTACTAGATTTACTCAGAACACATCACCTTTAACAGATGAAAACAAATTGATCTAGTTTCCCCACTCTAATTCTCTGTCAAATGAGTGTTGAATATCATTCCATATACATGTTTCACTGTTCTCCTTTGTTATGTTTTTAGTTCTGTGGTTCTTAAGAATGAATAATACTCCAAGGAAATATACAAAACTTGTAGCTCTTAAAGAGTACACTTCAATGATTTAGTGATATTGAAGTGGATGTTGGCATGGGGAAGTCAAACATTTCAGGATCATTCAAAGCCCAGTATGAAACAAGATTCTGTGGCATCGAAGCACAAAGAAAAATGAGGTTCAAATGAAAAATAACGCCAAGAACAAACAAATCTTGCTGTGAAACTCCCTAATTAATCCCCAGAAAACAAGCAAAGTTATCCAGAGACACCTGGTTGGTAGGAGGGTTATTACTGATTCCTCTATAGCAAGGCACAAGCTTCTTGAAGTAGGAAAAACAGCTAAAAGGACAGCTTTTTTTAAAAAGTAGCTATGAACCCCTACTATGAAGAAAATATACTTGTCCTGGGCAAGGCAATACAAACACTGGAGTATTGATGATTGGAAAAAGGTAATGATAAAACTAATTTTTTGGTTCAAGGCTATATATCAAAACTTATCAGACAAAGTCCTGATAAGTCTGTAAAATCCCACCATCTTCATCAGACTTTAAAACATCCATTTCCCTCCACTTTCAAAATGTTTGGGGGATTCTAAAATTTTTTGGGTCTGGAAGACTCGTTCCTATTGAGGAAATAATGAACTCTGATAAACATATTAATATAACAATAAGCAAAATTGTTCTGGATTTACAGAAATTCATAAAGATGAAATACTGTAAAAATGCCCTTGTACCATGCAAGACATCACAAAATGTTGAGCAATCTATCCAAGGGTAGAGAAAAATGTGCTTCAGTGGCCTAGGAATTAGACTTAGTATTTTTTGTTATATTGTGATCCTAGGGTTACATTTTGGACCATATAGTTGTTAGTTGGCAATGGAATCATTAGCTTTCCATCTTTAAGTGATTTTTCTTAGATATATCCTACAAACTAAGAAAGGGAAATTTGACCATCTATCATTATTCCCAATTCAGCTGTAAGGCAATTAATTGTCAACACTAGATAAATTAGTATAAAAATTGGATACTAAAGAAGAGGGTAAATAATATCATAAAATGACCTCTTCTTTTTAAGACCCATGTTTTAACAAATCTGATAGTTTTCAAGTCTTTTACAAGCACTAAACTCACATTAAAAAAAAAATGAATACAATACATGTTAATTCAGAAAATTAGTTATCTAATGTATATCAGTATAAATGGCTAATGAGCAAAAAGGGAGTGCTTTAATCTGTAAGCTGTCTGATTTCTGCAAATGATTTTGTTAGTTAAGGTCACTGCACATACATTGTTAATTAGTGAGCAGAAACATGAATGCTGCCATTTCCCTGTAAGAATGAGAGAGTATTTCCATTTTTTATAAAAGAAACAGGTAGCTAGACTTGAAATTTTGTTTAGTCAGCTGTTTTTCCATATGTAATAGAATGTTCTCAGATTCAAAGCCTTTCACCTATCACCTTATTTAAACCTTGGTGAAAACATAGAAACTAAAATTAAGGCTAAATTGGGGAAAATGTACTGTTCATCAAAGGTATGCTTAATACGTATGATTCCAAGACGAAGGATTAAAGAATAATTATCCAAATTTGTGAATTTAATGATAAGTTATGTAAAATAAGTCATTGCAGTGAAAAGATGATATATTGCATGCTAAATATTTTTAAACATTTAAATTATCTAGTGTATATCAGTACAAATGACTACTGAGTAAAAAAAAAAAAAATTCCTGGTATTTAGGCAGCAACTGGAGCCTTCAGGTTGAATGCTTAAATCTGAAAGCTGTCTGATTTCTACAAATTATTTTATTAGTTGAGGTCACTGCATATACACTGCAGGTTTAAAGAAGATGTTAATGAATTTGTTTTACTTTATCCCAGTTAATGTGCACATCAATATATGTCCTTCTCCTACCAAATTGTCAACTCCTCAAAAGAGAAAACCGTTTAATTTATCTATCTCAATCAACAAATCATAGACCTTACAATATTTTGTGCAAAATAAATTGAGATTTCAGGTCCTAGCTCCCATAAAATAGTCACCATGGTTTGGAAATAAATTTCCATTAATGACATTAGATTCTACAAACAACATTTGTTAGAATTAGAAGTCTTGCTCATGATTCAATAATCATTTTGTTTCATCTTCTTGATTTCCAAGTTGTTCATATCCAGTTATCCTGGTCCTACTTACATGGTATTATTTCTAATCTGTAGATTACATGTTATGCATTTTGCTATTCACATTGGTATTTCAACTTCCTTTCACTTCTATGATATTATTAGTCAGTGTGCAATTTCTTATATCATCCACTTTCATTAGCTTCATTTGAATTTATCTATATCAAAGGTTTAAATTTTTTTTTGTATCAAGGATCCCTTTTGTCATTTGGGTGAAGCCTATGAACTCCTTATCTGAATAGTTTTTAATGCCTAAAATAATGTACCTAAAATTACAAAGGAAAACCAATTTTGGTGAAATACAGTCATAAAAATATTTTTTAAAAAGCTTCATGGACCCCAGGTTAAGAAGCCCTGGTTTAGATGATTTAGATTATAAATATGGCTTTGAAACATTAGCACATGACTTCAAATTCTTGGCATAGTCTCTAGTACAGGACCTGATGCTTGCTAAAAAGACTAACAGAAATGAATAAATCTTTTAACCAATGTAAATAATGTACGGGTAAGAAAATTAACAAAATAATAAACAAAAAAGCTGAAATCACAACGTAAAAAAAAGAATTATCAGAATTTACTATATGTAGTTCTAAGGCAACAAAACTGAATTTTAAAAATTTTTTTAAAATTTTCCTATAATATTGTCAAATACCAAATTAACAAAATACAAAATAGAAATCTTAAAAATCTAGCCCCCAAAAAGGAAACTAAACTTGCTAGAAAGGCATTATCAGAGGGAAAAAAAAATCAGGTCCAGATAGACTTATAGAAGAATTCCACCTTTTAAAGAATAATTGATACTGTTTAAAAATTATCTATAAAAATTAAGAAAAAAGCACTTTACCAAATTTCTTTTATGGGATTAATTTAGTCCTAATACTTAAACCAGAGAAGAACAATTACTGGCTGACAGTAATTTTTTTTTTTTAAGGCAGCTGGGGTTAAAGTGACTTGCCCAGGGTCACACAGCTAGTAAGTGTTAAATGTTTGGTCTGAGGCTGGATTTGAACTCAGGTCCTCCTGACTTCAGGGCCAGTGCTCTATCCACTGTGCCACCTAGCTGCCCCATGACAGCAATTTTTTAAATTAAATTGTATCAAACAGAATACATAAAATAATTTATCATTATACCAGGGATGCAAGGACGATTCAACATTTGGAAAGTAATCAATATAATTAATCATATTAAAAACATGCAGAACAACATAATTATCTCAACAGATACAGAAAAACCCTTTGATGAAGTTAATGCTAAAAATAGTATCCCAATATTATAGGAACCCAAGTAAAGCAATACTGAAGTGAAGTTATCCAGAAAAAGAATAAACAAGACAACCTCTAAGGACTATTCAACTTTAAGACCGAAAAATTTTAAAAGCAATACATATTAAAATAGCAAGTATTCTCTAAGAAGACCATTACCTTGACACATTCTGGCGAGCAACAAATAAGATCTGATGCATAAAAATAATTTCCTAGTTTGGGGCCTTACTCCATGGGAAACTATTTTTAATACAAAAGATGATGTACCTTCTTCCCAATCTGATTCTTTCTTCCAACAAACAGAGAAAATTTACCCAAAACAGATAAATACATATTAATCTAGTAAAAAAAAGGTTACTTAATTTCTTTCCTCAAACTTGGAATATGAGGAAACAATGTTATCCCCCCCGCAAACAGTTTTGAGGAAAGAAGAATCATATACATTTTTGGTTTTGATACACATGTACATTTATATACGTACACAGAAACAACAGAAACAATAAATAAGAAAACAAAAAAGGCCTATCCATATCCCTTCTTGCTTTAAACACAATGTTGAATAAAGATCCTTACCTGAATAACAGCACTAAACCAGCAGGTATTTCCAACATTCTTTAGCCCAACTGGACAATTATCCTGTCTTTTTCTATCATAAGGGTTTGGAGAATCACTCCATACTTCTGTATGTGTCCTCTTCAAACTTGCTTTATTTTCTGCTATGCTGGCTTCAAGGACTCTTAGAAAGCCAATAAAAAAGGAAAGGGAAAATGTTACCATGCTGTTTAATACAGAAATGTTAGAAGATGAGTTTGAGATATATGAAGAAACATTGTCTCAGTAAGCCTAATTAAATAAACTAATGCTTATTAGAATGCATTTTGAAAAGAAGTTCACATAGAAAATACCTTCCCTGAATGACATCTTGATGGCAACCATGAAAGTTCAAGAGATACCTGAATGTTTTCACAATGTGTACTTCTAAATTTGCCTAAATAAAAGTAACTTCAAATATCTAAGTAGATGAAGAAGAATACAGGTAAATAAGTGTCCTGGATATCAAAACACTCGAATTTTAGTCATAGTTTTGCCACTAGTAGATCTATAACCGTAAGTAATTCATTTCATTCTGTTGGGCTTTCCTGCCTTCATTCATATACTGCAAGGTTTAGAGGCAGTGTTGATCTTAATTCAAATGGTTCTGACACTTATTACTAAGGAGACCTTGGGCAAGATATTGAACTTCTCTGGGCCTCAGTTTTCTCATATGAAAAATATGAAACATAACCCTTCTTTTCAGCTCTAAATCTATGTTCCTATAATTAGATGATCTCTTATGTTCCTTCTAGGTCTAAAATTCTATGATACCTAAACAAAGGAAAAATACCTGTAGCAATGTACAAATTACTTGGGACAAAATAAAATAAATTTATTGACATACTCAATAAGCCTTCCAACTTTTTAAATCTTTAAAAACATTAATATGCAAGATGTTCTCTTTTCACTGCAGTTACCTATTTTACACAATCTGGCACTGAGTTCACAAAATTTGGATACATATTCTTTAATCCTTCATCATGAAATCACATTTTTATCATATTGGAAATTAAGCATAACTGACAAACAACCTATTTCCCCAAATTTAGCTAGAATTATAAACCCTACGTTTGCCAAAGATTTAAATCAGAAAAGTTCCCAGGTCACTGAAGCATGTTTTCCTACACATCCTTGGATAAATTTGACATTCTTTGATGTTTGATGTGAAACAAGGCAGTTTTTACAGTATTTTATCTTCATTTCTGAATTTCTAGAAAAATTCTGATTATCATAATAAAAACATCAGAGTTCATCAATCCCTCAACAGGGACAAGCCTTCAAGACCCACTGGCATTTTAAATTTCTCAAAACATGTTGGGGTCGTAGAGTTAGGCAAAAATGGATATTTTAAAGTCTGATGAAAATGTTGAGATCTTGCAGATTTACCTAGAGTCCTTATGATAACCGTTTCAGAATGGCTTTGAATGAAAAAGTTAGTTTTAGCATTTCCTTTTTCTAATTAACAATACTCCAATCTTTGTATTGCCTTGTCCATGACAAGAATGTGAGGGCTGACAGCTACTTTTTTTTTTAATTATCCTTTCGGCTAGCTGTTCTTCCAAATTTAAGAAACCTATGCCCCACTAAAGAGGAATCAATAATTCTCGTAGCCCCTCGGTGTCTCTGAATGTCTTTGCTTATTTTCTGAGGATTAATTAGGCTGTTTCATAGTTAGCTTTGGTATTGTTTTTCATTTTTAACCATACTTTGTGTGCTTCAGTGCCACTGAATCATGTTTTATAGTGAGCTTAAATGATTCTTGAAATTCTTAACTTCCCCTGCAACATCTACTTCAATATCTTTACCAGTAATTGAGATGTACTCTTTAGAAGCTACAAGCTTTGTATGTTTCCATGGAGTAATATCCATTCTTAAAAACAACAGAATTAAAAACATTACAAAAGAGAGCAATGAAATACATGCATATGGCATGAAATTCACCACTCAGCTGACAAAGAACTAATGTTGAGGAAATTAACCAATTTGTCTCATCTGGTCAACATGATATGTTCTGAGTAAGCCTAATGTCAACGGAAGTACATACTTTTTGTGACCACTACTATCACAAAGTGATACCATATAAAAATGGTTGCTTGTTCTGAAATAGACATCTGTAAATCACACTGCATTTTTAAAAAAATTTTTTTTTTTTTTTTTTAGGCAGTTGAGGTTAAGTAACTTGCCAGGGTTACACAGCTAGTAAGTGTCAAGTGTTTGGTCTGAGGCCGGATTTGTACTCAGGTCCTCCTGACTTCAGGGCCGGTGCTCTACCTATGGCGCCACCTAGCTGCCCCTACAGCTGCATTTATTAAGAATAAAACTCATTAGAATACTTTGGATGACTCATATAATTTACCAAGAACAGAAAATCCAAGTGACTAGTAGTATTTACTAATTTAAGTATTTCTCCCCAAGGTAGTATCTTAAATATCTGATTTCAACTTATAGTATAGCTACTTGTACATTTTAAAGAAAAAAAGCTCCTACCTTTCATAACTAACAACTTGTTCCACAGAATAACTGAACTATTCCAAAATACATGTCAATTATAATTTTGCTTTATTCAATTAAGGAGCATCTCTCCTTTATAGACAACCCTGGGCTTATTAACAAATGGATACTAAATCCTTCCTACAGACTAGAAATTTCCCTTACAATAAAATGTAAACTATTATATTTACATATTACTGTTAAGATACTCTAAAATCACCATTAGTTCTCCTAAGTATTCTTAATTACTTCACCAATATACTTGAATTTTGGGAATAAAAATTTTTAGGGAGATAAATAGATGGTGCAACCAGAAAATACATATTTCTAATTCTATTTTTGATCTATTATTTATTCTATTCCATTTATTTGAAAAATATATACTTTCATTTTATTTTTTTAAAACTAAAACCAACATATACCAAAGATATATAAGTTTATAATCTACAATATCAGTATTTCAAGGGACAGTCTCTGCTAGGAACACAGCTAGCAATATAAGAAGCTCCTTGTTGCTTATTAGTGCCTTTAATCAATTAAAAGATAGGGAAAAATTACGATATTCACAGAATCATTAAATATTAAAAGTTAGAGCAGCCCTAAAAGGTCACCTAATCCAACCCTTACCTGAATAAACGAATCCATTACATTTCACCTAACAATCTTCTAGCCATTGCTTAAAAGGCCTCCCATTGAGAGAAAACCTACCACCTCATATGATAGCCCATTCCACTTGCAGATAGTTCTATTTGTTAGGTGGTTATTCCTTATATAAAAACCTATATTTGCCTCTTTGCTGCTCCACACATTGCTTTTAGTTCTGCCTCCTGAGACTAATAAGTGATCAAGTTTTTCTTCAGCTCCATTTCCCCATTTTCTTTTTAATTTCAATGTTCCTTCTACAAAAGATAAAATGTTTTCATATTCCTTCCTATCTGGAAAAAATGGAAGTCATGAAGACCTTGAGGAGGATGAAAGGATTTTAGACTAAAAGATCTCTAATATTCTTATGAGGGAGCCCACTGGGCTAAAGGAGGCAGGTAGCCAGGCCTGAGTCTAGTCCAGATCACTTCCTGATCACGTCAGGGTAATAAAAAGGTCCACAGACATAGAGTTGGGGCCCTAGGTACCATTCTGTAGAATGGAGGTAAGGCTGGAGATGTCTACCTGAACTAAGTATTGCAGTGTCCTTGTTGAGCATCCTTTCTATGTTATGACTAAGTGAACCTCTTTTGTTAACTTCTTAACATCCTTCAAGTACCTCATTTTGCTCTAATACCAGATCCTAAACTGTGGGCTTGAGTCAGATCTTTCCAAAAACAATACAACAGCATACTATCACGCAATTTAATTCACTGGTCAGAACAAGTTGTAATGAGGCAAAGATCATGGGGTTAATTTCTATGTAGGTGATATTTCTAAACCTAGGGAGCTATCTTGTAAATGAATAATTAGTCTTAAGGGGGCTACAGTAATTTTTCCACTTTTGAAAAAATTCAAAGTTCTGGTCCAGAGAATAGGTTAGTATACTATAACACTGCCCTGCCCCTCCCACCCCACATCCAATCCTCTGGCCCCTACACACACACACACACACACACACACACACACACACACACACCCCCCTCTCAAGAGACAGTGGGAAGCAGGGCCATTTTCTCCCCTTTCATTCTCTTCAAAATCCTAGGCTACTTAGGTTAAGCTGCCAGAGGCTCCCCGCCACCCCCACACACCTTTCCCCTTGCTTCCAGACCGATGGGCCAGCATGCCTGCTTATACCACTTGGATGAACTTAAGTCACCATCTCTAATCCCTCCCCTGAAATTAAAGACCATCATGTTGTACCACCCACCCTACCACTGCATCTTAAATCATCTAGGCCTTATTATCTTCTCTGCCACAATACCCTCCACACAACTGGGTATAATCATATAAATTGATTTACCCTAAAGGTCCTGCCATCCAACCTTCTGCTGCTCCCTTATGAATTCTGGGCTTTCCCATCTGCCCTGCAGCTGAATTTTCTCCAAATTAGAATATAAGCAAGCTTCTTGGAAAGAGATAGCCTCTTGCTTTTTCTATTTGTATTTCCAGTACTTAGCATAGTGCCTGGCACATTGTAAGAACTTATAAACACATTTTATTCATTCATATAAATTTTAAATATATACAATGATGTGTATTCTATAGTTAAATCCAAGGGCAGACTGCTCATATTTTATGATCATTCACACAAGTTAGATACTGATCCAGGTCAAGTTGGAGCTAAAGTTCTAATTTCTGTGTCAGGGGCACAAAAGCTTAACTAAACAGATCCTGTCAGGAAGCAATGAAATAAACCTATAATTGAGTTCTAGTGCTCTGTTCTCCTCCACAATGTTCTTCACTTCCCATCCAACACACTACCAATATTGGATATAAGATTCATATCCATATTCCCCTGTTCTCCATTTCAAGTGGGAGGAAAGGAACTCTGCAAGACAGAAAAAATACATTATCTATAGAAAGTGTTTCCACCCTTACCCCTGGCTGGCCGCGCGGAGCCCGCGCAATGCCCGGAGTCACGGTGAAGGATGTGAACCAACAGGAGTTCATCCGGGCCCTGGCCGCCTTCCTGAAAAAGTCAGGGAAGCTGAAAGTCCCCAAATGGGG